GAAGTCCGAAACACCTGGAGGGCCCAAGTTGGCCCTTGCCTGATATAGATAGCTAGCTACTTTAAAATGGCTCTTCAGTAACCAGCTGCTGCCTTTCTGTTTCCAAGGCCTCATTCCCTCCCATAACATCATTTGTCACGCGCCTGCTTTTCCTTGCCTTACGGCTATTAGGAATTGTGAGAGTTGAAGTCCAAAAACACCTGGAGGGTCCAAGTTGGCCCTTGTCTGATATAGATAGATAGCTACTTTAAAATGGCTCTTCATTAACCAGCTGCTGCCTTTCTGTTTCCAAGGCCTCATTCCCTCCCATTACGTCATTTATCACGCACCTGCTTTTCCTTGCCTTATCTTTAAACCTCACCCTATCTTTAAGCCTATGCATGCTTTGTCTCTGGAATTTCAAGTCCCTTGACCTAGACCAGGCATGGGCCAACTTGGGTCCTCCAGGTGTTTTGGACTTTAACTCCCACGATTCCTAACACCCTACCGGCTGTTCCAGAAACAGAGAGCTGTTCACCTGAATATGTTGCTCTCACAAAGGATGGTACCTGCAGGAACCACTTTGTGATTTTACTCTGACAACGTGACTTTTTGTAATTGTATGATCTGTATTTTAATGTATTGTATGTATTAATATATTGTAATGTTTATTATGCTTTATCCTATTGTATATTAATCTTTTGTTTTTAGCCGGCCTGAGTCCCTCTTCGGAGGTTGAGAAGACCGGGTTATAAAAGTTCTAAATAAATAATAATAAATAATAAATTTAAAAGGCCTCATTCCCTCCCATAACATCAATTATCACGCACCTGCTTTTCCTCATCTTACCTTTAAACCTCGCCTTATCTTTAAGCCTCTCCATGCTCTGTCTTTGCAATTCCAAGTGCCTTCACCTAGACCAGGCATGGGCCAACTCGGGCCCTCCAGTCTACCGGCTGTTAGGAATTGTGAGAGTTGAAGTCCAAAAGACCTAGAGGGCCCAAGTTGACCCATGCCCGATATAGATAGATAGATAGATAGATAGATAGATAGATAGATAGATAGTAGGCCTGTTTGATCAAGAAAAAATTTGTTTCTAAAATCGTTTTGTAATTGGGGTGTTTTTTTGTTTCGATATTTAAAATAATTACAAAACTTTCCCAAAAAAAGTTTTGGTATTTACAAAATTTTGTAAATATTAACGAATTTTTAGAATATTTTTTGTATTTTTTAAGAATAATATTAAAATAATATTAAAAAATATTTTAAAATGGAAAATTAACCAAAAAATGGCCCAAATGTGGACCAAACACAGGCAGGAGACAGCAAATGAGAGCACACACCAACAGAAGAGTCTTTTCTTTTTTAGAATATTTTTTAAGAATAATATTAAAATAATATTAAAAAATAATATTAAAAAATAATATTAAAAATAATATTAAAAATAATATTAAAAAATATTTTAAAATGGAAAACGAAACCACACAGGCCTACTATACAGACATAGCGGGTTTGAGTCAGACCCAGCTAACACCTCCCAACAAAGGATTCCCCTGAGCAGGAAGGAGCCAGACTTTGAAGCTACAAGGCCATTTAATTCCAATCAAGCTGTCCAATGGCAACATTCACACTTGCCTCCAACAGACAAGAGTTCTTTCTTCCACCCATCAAGCTGTCCAATGGCAACATTCACACTTGCCTCCAACAGACAAGAGTTCTTTCTCCCACCCTGGACCTTCTACAGCCAGGCTTTGAAGCTGCGAGGCCATTCAATGCTAATCAAGGTGGCCAATGGCAGCATTCATAATTGCCTCCAACAGACAAGGGTTCTTTCTCCCACCCTGGACGTTATTTCACAGGGAGACTTTGAAGCTACAAGGCCATTTAATCCCAATCAAGCTGTCCAATGGCAACATTCACACTTGCCTCCAACAGACAAGAGTTCTTTCTCCCACCCTGGACCTTCTACAGCCAGGCTTTGAAGCTGCGAGGCCATTCAATGCTAATCAAGGTGGCCAATGGCAGCATTCACAATTGCCTCCAACAGACAAGGGTTCTTTCTCCCACCCTGGACGTTATTTCACAGGGATATAAACCCTACTTGCCTAGTTTCCAACAAACCTCTGAGGATGCCTGCTATAAGATATGAGCTCCTGGAACAGAGGGGTTTAGCTGAGGAGAAAAAAAGAGCAACCATTACCAAGCGCGCGCCGCGCCGGGGCTGGAGAGGATTCTTTCTCCCGAGATGTGCTGCTCCTGCCTTAAAGAGACAGCACACTGTTTTTCTCTCTCCCTCTCCTTTCGGCACGTAAGTTGCTTCAGCCGCCCCTTACAGTACTTCACTCACTATGCAGGAGGAGGAGGAGTGTTGGAAAACGGGGAGAGGGGAAAGAGGGCGGGGAGAGCAGCCCAGGCCGGGAAAGAGGGGAATGGCACCAGCAGCCTCCATCTTATTAACGAAAGGAGCTGAAGCTCCTAAAATATATGGGGCTGCTGTTTCGATATTTTTAAACCCTTCCGGGTTTAAAAATATGTTTTGATATCGTTCTGTTATTAATAAAAATAACAAAACATTAACGAAATAACGAAATAACGAACAAAAATCGACAGGCCTAATAGATAGCTACTTTAAAATGGCTCTTCATTATCCAGGTGTTGCTTTTCTGTTTCCAAGGCCTCAATACCTCCCAATAACATCATTTATCACGCACCTGCTTTTCCTTGCCTTATCTTTAAACCTCACCTTATCTTTAAGCCTCTGCATGCTTTGTCTCTGGAATTTCAAGTCCCTTGACCTAGACCAGGCATGGGCCAACTTGGGCCCTCCAGGTGCTTTGGACTTTAACTCTCACAATTCCTAACAGCCTACCGCCTGTCAGGAATTGTGAGAGTTGAGGTCCGAAACACCTGGAGGGCCCAAGTTGGCCCTTGCCTGATATAGATAGCTAGCTACTTTAAAATGGCTCTTCATTAACCAGCTGCTGCCTTTCTGTTTCCAAGGCCTCATTCCCTCCCATAACATCATTTATCACGCGCCTGCTTTTCCTTGCCTTACGGCTATTAGGAATTGTGAGAGTTGAAGTCCAAAACACCTGGAGGGCCCAAGTTGGCCCTTGTCTGATATAGATAGATAGCTACTTTAAAATGGCTCTTCATTAACCAGCTGCTGCCTTTCTGTTTCCAAGGCCTCATTCCCTCCCATAACATCATTTATCACGCACCTGCTTTTCCTTGCCTTATCTTTAAACCTCACCCTATCTTTAAGCCTATGCATGCTTTGTCTCTGGAATTTCAAGTCCCTTGACCTAGACCAGGCATGGGCCAACTTGGGCCCTCCAGGTGGTGTTTTGGACTTCAACTCCCACAATTCCTAACAGCCTACCGGAGGGCCCAAGTTGGCCCTTGTCTGATATAGATAGATAGCTACTTAAAAATTGCTCTTCATTAACCAGCTGCTGCCTTTCTGTTTCCAAGGTGCTCCAAAGAGTTGAACCAGTGGGAAGCGCTGACCGAGTACGGGCAGTCGAAGGGCCACATCAACCCCTACCTGGTCCTGGAGTGTGCCTGGCGCGTCTCCAACTGGACGGCCGTGAAGGAAGCCCTGGTTCAGGTGAGTGCTCCTCGCCTCCTTCCCTTCCCAGTCGTTCAGAATCCGCCCTGTCGCTCGTCTCGACTCCCTTGCAATGGCGCGAGCATCTGGCTTCTCTGGCCATTGAGGCGTTGTTCTCTCCGTTAGGGATTCTTGCGCTTTGTCACAGCTATTTCTTCAAGGGGAAAGAACGCTGATGGAGCATTTGCACACGTAATGCGGACAAACGACTAATCACTCATGTCTTGTTGTCTGGGGAACTTTTACAGCTGAGGAGAGGAAAAAGAGGAAGGCAATGAAGGGTAGAGAAAGACGCCGTAGTCACCTCAGCACTTGGAACAATAGGAAGAGGTTTAGAGTATTTGCTTTGGGGAAATTTGGTGAAGGCCGAAAAGGAGTTGCATTTTCCATTTGGCCCAATCACGTTGACTTAGGTCCATTTTGCATATTTTCGTGCAGAGGTCCTCAAGCTTTTTAAGCCAAGGGCCGGTTTGCCGTCACTCTAACGGTTGGGGGGCCAGGCTAGGGTGAAATGTTAGGAGAGAATGCTTCTGGAGCATGGCCAAACAGCCCGGAAAACTCACAGCAACCCAGTGATTCCAGCCACGGAAAGCCTTCAACAACACATATGGAACAAATTCCTATGCACACTGCTCAGATCTTATTTGTATTGTGAAAAAAAATAACATGCAAGGAAAATATTCAAAATGAATTTTATTTATTTATTTATTTATCGTTTCAGGCGCAACCAGACCATTGTATCACATTTCTAACTGAACAAAGCACACAAACAGACAAAATACAAAATTTGCGAGTTTGGTAGTTGATTAGATGTCCTTTGACCAGTATCTGGCCCCTTGGAGTGCCTCTGGTGTTGCCACAAGAAGGTCCTCCATTGTGCATGTGGCAGGGCTCAGGGTGCATTGCAGCAGGTGGTCAGTGGTTTGCTCTTCTCCACACTCGCATGTCGAGGATTCCACTTTGTAGCCCCATTTCTGAAGGTTGGCTCTGCATCTCGTGGTGCCAGAGCAGTCTGTTCAGCGCCTTCCAAGTCGCCCAGTCTTCTGTGTGTGCCCAGGGGGGAGTCTCTCATTTGGTATCAGCCATTGGTTGAGGTTCTGTGTTTGAGCCTGCCACTTTTGGACTCTCGCTTGCTGAGGTGTTCCAGCGAGTGTCTCTGTAGATCTTAGAAAACTATTTCTAGATTTAAGTCGTTGACGTGCTGGCTGATACCCAAACAAGGGATGAGCTGGAGATGTCACTGCCTTGGTCCTTTCACTATTGGCTGCTACTTCCCAGTGGATGTCAGGTGGTGCAATACCGGCTAAGCAGTGTAATTTCTCCAGTGGTGTAGGGCGCAGGCACCCTGTGATAATGCAGCATGTCTCATTAAGAGCCACATCCACTGTTTGAGCGTGGTGAGATGTGTTCCACACTGGGCATGCGTACTCAGCAGCAGAGTAGCACAGCGCAAGGGCAGATGTCTTCACTGTGTCTGGTTGTGATCCCCAGGTTGTGCCAGTCAGCTTTCGTATGATATTGTTTCTAGCACCCACTTTTTGCTTGATGTTCAGGCAGTGCTTCTTGTAGGTCAGAGCACGGTCCAGAGTGACTCCTCCCAGGGATTTGGGTGCGCTGCAATGCTCCAGTGGGATTCCTTCCTTCCCAGGTAATAATCCTCAGAGCTCGGGATGCTTGTCTGTTCTTAAGGTGAAAGGCACATGTCTGTGTTTTAGATGGATTAGGGATCAGTTGGTTAAAATGAATAGCAATTTTGAACTAACATAAACTTACCAGTAGTTCGATGGAAAGTCTCCTTGTGGAGAGAAAAAATCAGGGTATAAATAAACAGTAGTAGTAGTAGTAGTATGGGTCTGCTTTTGACTGATGAGAGAGTCAAGTTAATGAAGGTTGTTGTTGTTGTTGTTGTTGTTGTTGTTGTGTGCTTTAAATTATTTTCAGATGTCAGGCTATCCTAAATCTAAAGTTTAGAGCAAGGGACGGGGAAAGGGACGTGGATGCCACATCCAGACCACGGACCGTAGTTTGGGGACCCTTTGCTTAGAGTATATTAAGGTCATTCCATGAGATTGATGTATTCATTTGGGATGTCCCTTAGCTCAGCAATGAGGGGAACAGATGGCACCTGGGAAATCTACGATTTTTTTTCTGCTTTACTCTCTCATGGTTCTGCTTCTGTAGAACAGGCCTGGGCTGACTTTGGCCCTTCCTACAAGTGTTTTTGACTACAATTCCTACAATTCCTGACAACTGCATTGGAGTCTTATCTTTAAGCCTCTGCACGCTCTGTCTCTGCAATTCCAAGCGCCTTGACCTAGACCAGGCATGGGCCAACTTGGGCTCTCCAGATGTTTTGGACTTTAACTCCCACAATTCCTAACAGCCTACTGGCTGTTCCAAAAACCGAGAGCTGTTCACTTGAATATGTTGCTCTCAGAAAGGATGGTACCAGCAGGAATCACTTTAAAAGGCGTCCATCCCTCCCATAACATCATTTATCACGCACCTGCTTTTCCTCGCCTTATCTTAAAACCTTGCCTTATCTTTAAGCCTCTGCACGCTCTGTCTCTGCAATTCCAAGCGCCTTGACCTAGATCAGGCATGGGCCAACTTGGGCCCTCCAGGTGTTTTGGACTTTAACTCCCAAATTCCTAACAGCCTACCGGTTGTTCCAAAAACCAAGAGCTTTTCACCTGAATGCGTTGTTCTCACAAAGAATGGTACCAACAGGAACCACTTTAAAAGGCGTCCATCCCTCCCATAACATCATTTATCACGCACCTGCTTTTCCTCTCCTTATCTTTAAACCTCGCCTTATCTTTAAGCCTCTGCATGCTCTGTCTCTGCAATTCCAAGCGCCTTGACCTAGACCAGGCATGAGACAACTTGGGCCCTCCAGGTGTTTTGGACTTTAACTCCCAAATTCCGAACGGCCTACCGGCTATTCCAAAAACCGAGAACTGTTCACCTGTCCTGGTTTGACTCCTAGGAATTGTCCATCTTTCCATTTCTCAGCAGCCAATAGAGGAACTAAGCAACCCTTTAAAGATAAAAGGCCGCCTTCCCAATCTTCCTCATCAAGCCATGTTTATTTCAATGGCTTCTTTCACAGCTGAATGAGAAAGATATCGCGCCTTAAGTCAGTCCTATGATTAATCAAGCTTTTATTTCTAATCCCAGAGTGTCCTTCAGGACTGTCGACAACATGAAACGAGCAGAGCTCTCTTGACCTCAAGAGATTTTGCCAATTAAACAAAAGTGTGTGTGTGTATATATATTTATATATATATATACGTATGTATGTATGTATATGTATAGGAGCTGGGTACTAACTAGATGCACCCAGCTAGAGCATAGGTACACTTATGGGAAGCTGGACATATTTTAAGTATGTTGTTGGGGGTGTACCCATTGACGTGCCCTTTGAAGATCATCTGTAGATCTTCTGAGGACCAAAAGGTGATAGAGGGGTGTATTTGGCCCCTTCAGTGGCTTCCGGAAAGCCATGTTCTGAATGGTTCTTAATGGTTCTTATTTTGTTTCTCGGGGAACGTCCTTCGTCGTGCTGCCCGGACCAGCGTTCAGTCCACTCCTCGCTCTGACGTGTTTAGTTGTGAAGTCAGTTACGATGACATATTTTCCGTCCCTTTGTCGCCTTGGCCGGGCTTCCTCCACCAAGATGGCTGGTGCGCCTTTAAATCCATTAAGTGGCAAACGTGGCGGGTCACGGACGGCTGGCTTTTACATTATGGATTCCAAAGATGTGTATTAAATAACGTTTCCAAGGCGCGCGAATTACAACGCTTGTATTAAGGTATCTCGGTGTGCCAGTAATGGATCTCGACAGGGAGACAAACAATGGGATTAGATGTCTATATTTCTTGTGCTTGTGCTCTCTTTGCCCTTCTACTACCAGTTGTAGCTTGATCAGCACACTGTACTACAACATCTACTCCCCGAGCGGGGGGGGGGGGACTCAGGACGGCTCACAATAAGCACCGATATGATGCCGATACATAACAACGTAATAATACAACCACAATTGAGCATAAGTCATAATTAAAATAATACATAAGCAGTAATTAAAACAGTATATATACACACACACAAAATACATATACACAGACTGGGCCACAGCAACGCGTGGCAGGGGACGGCTAGTAGTAGTAGTAGTAGTAATAATAATAATAATAATAATAATAATAATTTGTCGATGGCTGGAATCACTGGGTTTCTGTGAGTTTTCTGGCCTGTATGGTCATGTTCCAGTGGCATTCTCTCCTGACATTTCATCTGTATCTACGGCATGCATCCTCAGAGGCTGTGGGGTCTGTTGGAAGCTAGACAAGTGGGGTTTATTTATCTGTGGAATTAAGGCGAGGGTGGGAGAAAGAACTCTTGTCTGTCGGAGGCAAGTGGGAATGATCTACGTAACAGAAGCTTTGGCCTCACATTCTGTCCGCAAGTTGCCAGTTTCTTCTTTGGAATGGTCAAGAAAGCTGTGGCAGCTCAGCAAGCGGCAGAGGATTGTTCTCATGTTTCAGAGGATGAGGGAATGGATGGGTTTCCAGTTGAGGAGTCTGGTAGTGATCAGAGAGAATTTCAGGAAGATGAGGCCAATGTTTGGGATTCTTGTGTTTGCTTGTGCTAAAGCAACAGAAAGTGAAAGTGAAGGTTCGCTTGTGAAAAGACCTTGGGCTGATGGGGAGTTTTCTTGGGAAACAAGATTAGGTCTGAGAACGGAAGGAGTGAAAAATAGACACACGAGATGTTGTAAATAAATAATAAATGTTGTAAATAAATAATAATAATAATAATAATAATAATAATACATTCTTAAAGAATCAGAGATAAAACCTTGAAGGTTCCGGTTGTTTGGCATGATCTCATTGGCACCTGGACGAGCTTAAATTAGGTGTTTTGGGATTCCTGTGCTTGTTTGCTTGTGCTAAAGCAACAGAAAGTTCCAGTTCGCTTGTGAAAAGGCCTTGGGCTGATGGGGAGTTTTCTCGGGAAAAAAGATTAGGTCTGAGAACGGAAGGAGTGAAAAATAGACAAATTCTATTCCACTGACCCTTTTGGAAATGCCCGTTTTCTACCTGCTTTTGTTAATAAACATTTTTAGAGAGTAGTCCTGGACCCTGGTGTGGTGCTGGGTGACAAGGTGTGTCAGTGCTAGAGCGCAACAAAACCAAAGTGTGATCCTGTGCCATCGCGCCTGGGGGCTATTATTCTTAATGAAGGAGGGATGGACATGGCATCTCTCCCCAGGGGATTGCTTCTTGCCCTCCTATAGGAAACTGGAACTCTCAAAAATCCAAAACGCTGTAAATAACTCAAAATAAGTTTTATTGATCACAAAGTTATTTCTTTAAAGCAATGAGCTGGAAACTTCAGAGGGGTGAAGGAAAATATACGTTACAGTCTCAGTTAGTCCTGGGTCCAAGGTGTTTGAAGCTGAGAAGCTTTTCCAAGTTTCCTCTTTCCTCAATGGCTGTGAATGCCGGAGCAAACCACAACCCCAGTTCAGATGGCCTATGTTTGAAGACTCAAGATCTTCCTTTGGTGCCAAAAGAACCGGCTTGAAGGCGCTTGGGTCTCCTCAATGTTGTCCAGGATGATCTGGACATAAAGCATGAGTCCCAGGGGTAAAAAACCTCAGAACTGGTGCTAAGAGGTAATTTAAATCAGGGTCTTTTAGAGTCAAGTCTCTTACTCACGTCCATGTGGCAGGAGCTCTGATGGCAGAATGAAAAGAAAAAAGGAAGCTCTCCCCTCCTGCAGGAAGAGGTGGAGCCAAACAGTACTGATTGACAGCTATAAGTAACCAATCCATACAACTATACATAAGCTGGGTAAAAGGGCAGGATTAAGCATGATACAACAGTTTAAATCTTGCAACTAACAGTTCTACACATAGGTGGCGCCACTCGCACTGTCACAGATCCGGACTCACTCCCACCTTCTGTTTTGCTTCTCAAGGTGGAGTTGAGCTGCCCGAAGGAGATGGCGTGGAAGGTGAACATGTACCGGGGCTTCCTGGCCATCTGCCACCCGGAGGAGCAGCAGCTGAACTTCATTGAGCGCCTGGTGGAGATGGCCAGCGGGTTGGCCATCCGAGAGTGGCGGAGGCTCCCCCAGGTGGTCTCCCACGTCCACACACCCCTCCTGCAGGTGAGTGAAGCTCAGAGCTTTCCCGCTCTCTCTTTTACATTCCTTTGTATTCAAATAGGCATGGACAATCCATTAGAAATGGTTCAAAAGTCATTACAAAACTACTGGAGGGCGCTGGCATTTTTTTCTAAAGTTTTTCTAAAGTATAGTTATTGAATTTTTTTTTACTATAACGAGAGTAACGAAATGCCATAACTATTTCATTATAGTAATTGTGCATGCACATAATTCAATTTCTATAATTGGGGAAACTTCAGGGGCTCCTTTCTCCCTCATTTTTAAAACTATCTAGAGTAAAACTTGCTACAATGGTAGAACACATTTACCACTGTTAGCCCACCAAATTTCAGAGTGTTTCACTTATCAGCGGATTTTTGGGAAATTTTAAAAGTGTTTATAAACAACTTTTTTACTTTTACTTCTCTACTTGAATTTTATCTGCAACACACAAGATAACCAGGTCATCAATCCCCAGAAGTTTTAGAAAGATTCACACATTGACAGATTTTGGGAGATTTTTAAAAGTGTAGACAAAAACAATTTATCCTCGCAAAAAGCGACAACAGCAATCCCCTTGATTGCCTGTCTGTCTTTATGACACACAATTAACCACAGAACTTCAACTTAGCACAGATTTTACTATTACTTACTTATTTTAGTCCTCTTTGCAGATTCAATAATGTTATTTATTTATTTATTTATTTATCGTATCAGGAACGATTGATAGCTACCATCCATATCTGTGCCTTGCTCGCCCCACCAGCTCAATAGATATCTTGAGCAATGATCAATCTATTTGCCCCAAGGAACTGGGAAATTGTTGTTTCTCTTCGATGTTTTGACTTATGTCTGATATAACAGGCTGTGTTTTTTAATTTAATTTTAGATGTTAAGTGTTAATTTGTGTTTATATGTTGGGCTGTTAAGTTTTCGTTACTATGGATGTATTGTTGTTGCATTCGGGCATTGAATTAAATTATTATTATTATTATTATTATTATTATTATTATTATTATTTATTTGTGTACTGTATGTTGTCATTGAATTTTTGCTATTAGCAAAAAAAAAAAAAGAAAAAAGCATGGGGAAAGGAAAACAAAAATGGAAAAATTGGGAAATTTTTTTTCCCGAAGCCATTTTCTCTCTGAAAAATTGAAAAAAAAATTAGAAATGAAAAGTCTCAGAAAAATAATCCTTCATGTTCTGTAGTTTGAATGAAAATCCGTGCCATTGATATATTACTATTTACCATTGCAAAAAAATAACATATTCTGCACACTTTTCAGTTTTTTTCCTGGGGGGAAAAAGCATTTTTTCTCTGAAAAATTGAAAAAAATTTGGAGATGAAAAGTCTCAGAAAAAAACCATCCTCCATGTTCTGTAGTTTGAATGAAAATCCATGCCATTGATATATTACTATTTACCGTTGCCAAAAAAAAATAACATTCTGCGCACTTTTCAGTTTTTTTCCTGGGGGAAAAAGCATTTTCTCTCTGAAAAATTGAAAAAAAAATAGAAATGAAAAGTCTCAGAAAAAATCATCCTTCATGTTCTGTAGTTTGAACGAAAATCCATGCCATTTATATATTAGTATTTATCGTTGCAAAAAAGTAACATATTCTACACACTTTTCAGGTTTTTTTCCTGGGTGAAAAAGCATTTTTTCTCTGAAAAATTGGAAAAAAAATGGAAATGAAAAGTCTCCGAAAAATCATCCTTCATGTTCGGTAGTTTGAATGAAAATCCATGCCATTGATATATTACTATTTACCATTGCAAAAAAATAACATATTCTGCGCACTTTTCAATTTTTTTTCTGGGGGAAAAATAGCTTTGGAAACAAAACGGGGAAAAAACCTGTTTTCCCCCCAATTTTTCCATCGTTTCCCCCCTCCCCCGTTCTTCCTATCTCTACTTAAGATGAGAGTGGATGGGAGAGAGAGAGAGAAGATCAACAAGAAACTTAATACTTTTTGGACTGAGTACTATTTATTTACAACAAGCGCTGGCTGTTTTGGTGTGCGTTCGTTCGTTCGTTCGTACGTACGTACGTTTGTGTTGGAATCCTCCCTGCACATCCTTGTTATCAAATTGCTGAAATAGGCAGAGAATGACAAAAATTACCAACACAGCAATGGAGCTACTCGGCAGTAATTACTTCCCCGCCCCCTTATATCAGATAGTGAGTGATTAAATACCTGCTAGGAAATTAAATTTACATGATGAATGGGAGAAGGGTGAAGGTGAAACTGTGGTGAAAGCCGATACTGGAGTGATTATGATGGGACAGGAAGGAAGAATATTGCCTTGCTTGGCTCGCTTTCCAGGGATTTGCATGGAAGCAATGGGAGGACGCCTTTGCACGAGGAACAGTTATCTCAGTTAGCTGAGTAAGAGCCTCCGAATGCCAGTGTTTCTCTCCGAAGAATAAAATTGTGATTGTTTTGGAGAAGCATGACCTTTCAGAAATCATAACCTTTTGGGAAATCTGGAATCTCCATAGCCTTTTGGAAGTGTGACCAGGGGCGGCTCAAGCCGTCATGCAAAGTAAGCATTCGCAGTAGAGTTGATGTTGGCCAGGGTCGCTCTTGAGGCGCTCTTGGGGGAAAATAGACCTTGACATATGCGAGTTGTGTCAGAGTATTGACGTTTGCCAGCGGAAGGATTGCTAGATCAGCAGACACTGAGCTCAAAATAAGGACTCTGCAAGCTTTCAGTTACAATAGAAAACTACGTTTTACTAAGTACATCTACAGACGTCTATTCACAGCAAGCTACTGACAGGAACTCCTAGGCAAAAACAACAATCTCTGAACAGCTGCTTATCTGACTTCTGGGTGAGACCAGTTCCTCCCTCTTCTTCCCAGCCAGAGAACATGTTACCTCATTTCTGTCAAGGTTACATTTTCACTGCCTCAGCACAGTATTTTCTAATACACAATTGAACAGAATAGAATCCATCTTGAAATAAATAGAAGCACATTGAAAAACACACATGCATAACTAAATAATCCTGACAAGTTATAGTTATTGGGATGTATAGTTCACCTACAATCAAAGAGCATTCTGAACTCCACCAATGATGGAATTGAACCAAATATGGCACACAGAACTCCCACAACAAACAGGAAATATATATCAATGATTGGTTGGGGGGGGGGGCACCAAAATACTGTTTGCTTACCCTTGTAAATTACCTAGGTCAACGTCTGAGTGTGACCCTTTGGATATTTTTTGGCATTCATACTTTCTGGAACAATGTCATGTGTCATGTTCTGCAGTTGCTGGTGGTTGGTGGTGGTAGGTAGCAGTTGGTGATGGAAGGGTTAATGTAAGTCTTAGTTCTAAAGGGTTGAGTAATCTGTAAGTAAGAGTTCATGGGTGAAAGCAATTAAGGGTGGAGGGATGCAAGAGATGGGTTGCAGCTGGGTGTTTCTGGATATAAGGAGCTAGCCTTGGGACTGATCTTTGGGAGAAAAGTATTTGTCATATTTTGGTGGTAGATGCTGCTGGTTTTCCCCCAGGTTTGTGGATTTTCAGTATCCTGATCTGTCTCTTGTCTTGGAACCTTGAATCTCTGGACTGGCTTTTGACTATGTTATAGACTCTTGATCCCTGGACTTTGCTCATTCTACTCTGGGTGTTTGACGACTGGACTGGACCTTTTGACTACGGTGTTTGACGCCTTTGCACGAGGAACTGTTATCTCAGTTAGCTGAGTAAGAGCCTCCGAATGCCAGTGTTTCTCTCCGAAGAAGTAAAATTGTGATTGTTTTGGAGAAGCATGACCTTTCAGAAATCATAACCTTTTGGGAAACCAGGAATCTCCATAGTTTTTTTTGGAAGTGTGACTCTTTGGATATTTATTGGCCTTCATACTTCCAGGAATAATGTCATATATCATGTTCTGCAGTTGTTGGTGGTTGGTGGTGGTAGGAAGGGTTGTGTAAGTCTTAAATCCAAAGGTTGAGTATTCTGTAAGTAAGAGTTCCTGGGTGAAAGCAATTAAGGGTGGAGGTATGCAAGAGATGGGTTGCAGCTGCGTGTTTCTGGATATAAGGAGCTAGCCTTGGGACTGATCTTTGGGAGAAAAGTATTTGTCATATTTTGGTGGTAGATGCTGCTGGTTTTCCCCCAGGTTTGTGGATTTTCAGTATCCTGATCTGTCTCTTGTGCTCTTGGAACCTTGAATCTCTGGACTGGCTTTTGACTATGTTATAGACTCTTGATCCCTGGACTTTGCTCATTCTACTCTGGGTGTTTGACGACTGGACTGGACCTTTTGACTACGGTGTTTGACGCCTTTGCACGAGGAACTGTTATCTCAGTTAGCTGAGTAAGAGCCTCCGAATGCCAGTGTTTCTCTCCGAAGAAGTAAAATTGTGATTGTTTTGGAGAAGCATGACCTTTCAGAAATCATAACCTTTTGGTAAATCTGGAATCTCCATAGTTTTTTTGGAAGTGTGACTCTTTGGATATTTATTGGCCTTCATACTTCCAGGAATAATGTCATATATCATGTTCTGCAGTTGTTGTTGGTGGTTGGTGGTGGTAGGAAGGGTTGTGTAAGTCTTAAATCCAAAGGGTTGAGTATTCTGTAAGTAAGAGTTCATGGGTGAAAGCAATTAAGGGTGGAGGGATGCAAGAGATGGGTTGCAGCTGGGTGTTTCTCGATATAGCCTTGGGACTGATCTTGGGGAGAAAAGTATTTGTCTTATTTTGGTGGTGGATGCTGCTGGTTTCCCCCCCAGGTTTGTGGATTTTCATTATCCTGATCTGTCTCTTGTGCTCTTGGAACCGTGAATCTCTGGACTGGCTTTTGACTATGTTGTTATAGACTCTTGATCAGTGCAAAAACACTTAAAAACAATACAACAATATAACAACAAATATAAACTTATCAGTATTTCAGTGGGAAATGTGGGCATACCTTTGGCCGATGAGATAGGATTGTTGTTGTTGTGTGTTTTCAAGTCGTTTCAGACTGAGTGAGGGCCGGTTAAATGACCTTGGAGGGCCATATGCGGCCCTCGGGCCTTAGTTTGAGGACACCTGCTCTTAATCCTTGGACTTTACTCAGCTTTTGACCACTGCGCTGGACCTTTTGACTACGGTGTTCTCTTGAACCTGCAGCAGTGTTTGCTGTCAGTTTTTGTTTTATATTTTGTGGCTGAGTGCTATCTTTATCTGACCAAAAAGGTCAAAAGTTCGAAGCCAGCCTGGGTTGGAATGGGTTTCCAACCAATTGTGTGTAGCCTGTTGTCGACCTTTGCAACCCGAAAGACAGTTGCATCTGTCAAGTAGGAAAATTAGGTACCACCTTAAAGTGTGGGGAGGCTAAATTAACTGATTTATGAGGCCATAAAGAAGACTCCAGCAAAGCATTCCAGCGGGGAAGCATGCGGGGAATGCGGAAGTGCTTCATCAGCGTTGCAGATGGACGAGGAAAGCGACAGAAAAAGTTAAATAGCCTCTGTGTATGTCTGTATATGTTTGTATGTCAAAAATTGGCATTGAATGTTTGCCATATATGTGTACACTGTAATCCGCCCTGAGTCCCTGCGGGGTGAGAAGGGCGGAATATAAAAGCTGTAAATAAACAAATAAATAAATTTATGTTTTGGACAAGCAGAAAGTAAGTGCTGTTTTAATTAAATTGTTTAACACAAACTAGGAGTTTGGTTCATCTCTGCCTAAATATTGGCAGAGCCATGGCATCGTGAAGCCTATGTGCGTTCGGCATGATCTCATGGGTGTTTGATCAGGTTTAAATTAATTGCTGTTGGCCTCACGCTTCTCAGAGGAGACAACGTTGGCAAAGCTCTCAAGTTCATGTTTCCAGTATGGTCAAGTTTCCTGTTCCAGTTCATGCCTGTGTTTCCTGGAAGGAAGGAAAAGATCCTGTTGTCTTGTTTATGGGTTGCTGTAGGTTTTTTCGGGCTATATGGCCATGTTCTAGAGGCATTTTCTCCTGACGTTTCGCCTGCATCTATGGCAAGCATCCTCAGAGGTAGTGAGGTCTGTTGGATCTAGGAAAAAGGGTTTATATATCTGTGGAATGACCAGGGTGGGACAAAGGACTCTTGTCTGCTGGAGCTAGGTGTGAATGGGTCGTTGTAGGTTTTTCCGGGCTATATGGCCATGGTCTGGAGCAGGGGTCCACAAACTTTTTAAATAGAGGGCGAGGTCACAGTCCCTCAAACTGTTGGAGGGCCGGATTATAATTTGAAAAAAAAAGAATGAATTCCTATGCACACTGCACATTTCTTATTTGTAGTGCAAAAAACACTTAAAATAATACAATAATTAAAATGAAGAACAATTTCAACAAATACAATTAGTATTTCAATGGGAAATGTAGGCCTACTTTTGGCTGATGAGATAGGATTGTTGTTGTTGTTGTTGTGTCCTTTCAAATAGTTTCAGACTTAGGTTGACCCTGAGCGAGGGTCAACCTTAGTTATAGGGCCATGTTCTAGAGGCATTTCTCCTGAGTTTCGCCTGCATCTATGGCAAGCATCCTCAGAGGTAGTGAGGTCTGTTGGAACTAGGAAAAGGGTTTATATATCTGTGGAATGACAGGGTGGGACAAAGGACTCTTGTCTGCTGGAGCTAGGTGTGAATGTTTCAACAGACCACCTTAATTAGCATTTGATGGCTTGGCAGTGCATGGGGGAGTCTTTTGTTGAGAGGTGATTAGTAGGCCTGGTTGATCAAGAAAAAATTTGGTTCTAAAATTGATTTGTATTTGGGGGGGTGTTTTGTTTCGATATTTAAAATAATTACAAAATTTTCCTTTTAAAAAGTTCGATATTTACGAAATTTCGTAAATGTGAAAAAAATTACAAAACATTAACGAATCGATTAGTTAATGGCGGACGCGACCGCGAAATACGCTAAAAAACCTCCAAAAACTTCTGAAGCTTCCCTCTCCCTCTGTTGTTGACTGTTGGTGTGATATTATAATTTTTTTTCACTAATTAAACCATAAAACTGGCCCAGACATGCGGAAATAATAACGAAACGACCTCAAAACAATAACGAAACGAATACAATATCGAAATACGAAGCATTTACAAAACGTTTTTGAAAATTCGTTTTTTTAATAATTGCTCCAGAATGGTTTGTTATCGTTTTGTAATTGAAAAAATTAACGAATTATTAACGAATTACGAATTAACGAAACGAAACCGCCCAGCCCTAGTGATTAGATGTCCTTGTCTTGTTTATGCATTTATACTTGCAGTGACATTGTGGATTTTGGTGATTTATGTACTTTGACCTTTTTCAAGTCTTGCTCCTTTTGCATTTCCTGTTCTCCCGACGCTTTTGGAATCACATTTTTGTCCTTTTTGCCTGCTTTTTGCAGTAAACAACATCCTTAGATAGAACTCTTGGTCTCGTGTGTGGTGCTGGGTGAGAAGATGTTTCAGTGCCAGAGTGCCACAGTTGCATGTGGTCCTGCAAGGCATTTTTCCTCAGTGTGGGATGAAGAACACGCTCGCAGTCTTACTTTATTATATTTCTATCCTCTATCTTCTCAGGCGGCGCAGCAGATCATCGAGCTCCAAGAGGCGGCCCAGATCAACGCGGGGCTGCAGCCGGCCAACCTGGGGCGGAACAACAGCCTCCACGACATGAAGACGGTGGTGAAGACGTGGAGGAACCGCCTGCCCATCGTCTCGGACGACTTGTCCCACTGGAGCAGCATCTTCATGTGGCGCCAGCATCACTACCAAGGTGAGCGCATCCTCGGCTCGCCACTGCGAGATCGTCCACAAAGCCCAGTACGAAGGCTCTCTTTCTAGCAAGACCAGGAGCGTGTATATATTTCCGCAGAGTTGACCATTCTTTGGGGAGACAATTGCATTGTTTTGCTAAAAGTTTGCAGGGTTTTGTATCCCGTGATGCGTAATAAGACACAACAGGTGTGACAATTGGGTTCTGTTTTTATGATCAGGTCTGGAAAGGGAAAATCCTTCGTCTCAGAGTAGTTATTTTATTTATTTATTTATTTGGTTTACTTCTACCCCGCCCTTCTCACCCCGAAGGGGACTCAGGGCAGCTTACAAAAACAAGGCGCAATTCGATGCCCGTAACATACAACAATAATAAAACACAATAGCACAAAATAGCAATCAAACCACAATTCTACATTACATCTATAAACCGATAAAACCAATAAGACCAATAAAAATCCATACAAACCAATACAAACCAATTACTCCTTATTGCCGGTCAACGTTCGCTATCTCATAGTTCAATTTCCATTCCACAATTGTCAGTCCTGTCAGTCCTATTCATCTGATTGTCCTTACCTAGTTGTCAGATTGCCCGAAGGCCTGGTCCCACAACCACATCTTTACTTTCCTCCTGAAGGAGAGGAGGGATGTTGATGCCCTAATTTCCCCCGGGAATGAGTTCCACAGGTGAGGGGCCACCACTGAAAAGGCCCTGCTCCTCATCCCCACCAGCCTCACTTGGGACAGAGGCGGGGTCGAGAGCAGGGCCTCCCCAGATGATCTCAGATTCCGGGGTGGGACGTAGAGGGAGATACGTTCGGACAGGTACGCTGGACCGGAGCCGTGAAGGGTTTTGTAGGTCAAAACCAGCACCGTGAATTGTGCTCGGAACTGAACCGGCAGCTAGTGGAGCTGACACAGCAAGGGGGTGGTGTGCTCCCTGTATGTCACTCCGGTGAGCAATCTGGCTGCCTCCCGCTGGACCAGTTGAAGTTTCCGAACAGTCTTCAAGGGCAACCCCACGTAGAGCGCGTTGCAGTAGTCTATTCGGGATGAAACAAGAGCGTGGACCACTGTGGCCAGATCAGACTTCCCAGACTAGTTGGTGTTTACACGTCTCTTGCGACTTGACCTTTCCCCTCAAGTGAACTCTGCGTAAAGCCAGGCTTTAGGGATCCATGAAAGGCTCTTTCTGGCCCAAGTAATGAGGCACAGCGATCAGTATCTCAGTAGATTGCAATCTGGGCGTTGACGGATGTGTTCCTAATCAAGGTGAGTGTTTAATTCTGCATTTTAAGCCAATTTACAATTAGATCAACATTTTAAATAGTTCAGTGCACACAAATTAAAGAATATTAAAAATGCCAAGTTTGGATCTTCTCGGAATAGTGAGTAAGGAGCAAAGTTCTATTTCCAAAGCAACACGTAACAATTAAGTTAGGTTATCTGTGTAGCAAGGATGTATAGTCACGTTGGAAGTTCGTTTCAGAGAGCCACTTTTTTGTGCGTTCTCTTGTAATTCCCTCACAAACATAAATATAAACCTTCTCCTGAGTGGTAAATATGAGGCCTGTGCCATCCATGGTTCTAAATGGTTCTAAAGTACTTACAAAACGAGGGGGCGCTGGTGCTTTGCTTCTACAGTGTGGCTAAAGTTCTGGTGGTGAAAACTTCAGAACTCTAACAAAACTTCATTGTTATTTCATTATTTGTGATTTTTTTTTATGACAGAACCAATTAGGAACATTTATAATGAAATTTTGAAAGTTGAATAGAATTGGGCCACATAGAACCCCCATGAACTACAGAAAATACTGTGTTTTCTAATGGTCTTTGGCAACCCCTCTGACACCCCCTAGTGACCCCCCCAGGGGTCCCGACCCCCAGGTTGAGAACCACTGGTATAGTGCAATATAGTAATATATAATATATAATACTGATATAGTACTGTGCTTATAATATAATATATTGTACGAAAATATATCTTTTAAGCCGCTTTGAGTCCCCTTTGGGGTGAGAAGGGCAGCATAGAAATGTCGTAAATAAATAAATAAATAATAAATAATGGAACATGCCCAGACAGCCCGGAAAACCTACAACAACCCAGATTCTTTATAGTCTGTTTCAACTAACTTCTAAACTGTACTGTTCCTACTAAAGTCTCTACATTGAAAGTCTAATGGCTTTTGCCTTTCTAAAAATGGAGTCTGAGCCTTGAATAGTCCCAGATCTAGTCATGTGGTCTGAAGTCCCTCCCACACCATAGAGTTAAGGAAAACTGCATACTAACACACATATGAAAGTCTAATGGCTTTTGCCTTTCTAAAAATGGAGTCTGAGCCCTGAATAGTCCCAGATCTAGTCATGTGGTCTGAAGTCCCTCCCACACCATAGAGTTAAGGAAAACTGCATTCCAATACACACATATACAATACAGTGAGCACTCTGAATTATATACAAACAAACAAGTAGTGGAGACTTGAAGAAGGTTGCGATTTCCAACCAATGCATTATATCTCCCTGGCTTTTGCCTTTCTAAAAATGGAGTCTGAGCCCTGAATAGTCCCAGATCTGGTCATGTGGTCTGCAGCCCCTCCCACGTCATAGAGTTAAGGAAAACTGCATACCAACATACATATGAAAGTCTAATGGTTTTTGCCTTTCTAAAAATGGAGTCTGAGTCCTGAATAATCCCAGATCTGGTCATATGGTCTGCAGCCCCCACCCCCCTACATCATAGAGTTAAGAAAAACTGCATTCCAATACACACATATACAATACAGTGAGCACTCTGAATTATGTACAAACAAACAAGTAGTGGAGACTTGAAGAAGGTTGCGATTTCCAACCAATGCATTATATCTCCCTGGCTTTTGCCTTTCTAAAAATGGAGTCTGAGTCCTGAATAGTCCCAGATCTGGTCATGAGGTCTGCAGCCCCTTCCACGTCATAGAGTTAAGGAAAACTACATACCAACACACATATGAAAGTCTAATGGCTTTTGCCTTTCTAAAAATGGAGTCTGAGTCCCGAATAGTCCCAGATCTGGTCATGTGGTCTGCAGTCCCTCCCACGCCATAGAGTTAAGGAAAACTGCATTCCAATACACACATATACAATACAGTAAGCACTCTGAATTATATACAAACAAACAACTAGTGGAGACTTGAAGAAGGTTGCGATTTCCAACCAATTATAAGTCAAGCATGTGCTCCCCTTTCTTTCTGCCTTCCCAGCCATTGTCGGTGCGTACGACAACAGCTCCCAGCACGACCCCAGTTCCAACAACGCCATGCTGGGGGTCCACGCTTCGGCCTCGGCCATCATCCAGTATGGAAAGATCGCCCGGAAGCAAGGCCTGGTCAACGTGGCCCTGGACATCCTGAGTCGCATCCACACCATCCCAACCGTCCCGATCGTGGATTGCTTCCAGAAGATTCGGCAGCAAGTCAAGTGCTACCTTCAGCTGGCCGGAGTTCTGGGCAAAAACGAATGCATGCAGGTGAGGCTCCTTTGACTTTGATTATTTTTCTGTTCTTATCGAGTAACATAAGGGACACATTTCTGAAATGAAATCCAGCATCCAGGTACGACATTTCACCGTATAATAGTCGCATGGTGGTCGGCCAAGGGAAGTCCTGTATCTCCCTGTATCACTCACATGAGCGAGCGAATAAAGGGTGCGACTATTGTGGAGGAATAGCAGAAATACCAGTTTTGCCACCTCAAAAAGGGGGGGGGGGGTGCAACTTATATGTGATGAAAAAAAGGATATAATCTTTATATTTGTTCCAATAAGAATGTGTGCATCTTTGAGTTCTCCAGAATGACTCACCTGGCTAAACCAGAAATGGGAAGTCTTTTGCCCTTCAGAAAGGTCTGCTCTCAGGATTATTGTGGCTTTCGGACACATTTCCAAAATAAAACCCAGCATCCAGATACCACATTTCACCTCATAATAGTCTCATGGTGGCCTGCGACTATTATGCCCTGTGTCTCCAAGGAGGCAGGTGAATAAAGGGTGTGACCTCAGTTCCCTGCTCCATTTGGGGCTTCTGGTACATTTCAACCCTATTGTGCGTGATTAAGTTTTTCCTTAGGATTTTTATTATTTTTCTGCTATTATTGAGCAGCGTAAGGGACACAATATGTTTCAGGCACATTTCTGAAATAAAACTCAGCATCCAGGTACCACATTTCACCGCATAGTAGTCCCATGGTGGCCTGTGACTATTATGCCCTGTGTCTCCAAGGGGGCAGGCACATGATCAGGTGAATAAAGGGTGCGACTGTTGTGGAGAAATAGCAGAAATACCAATTTTTCCACCCCGAAAGGGGGGTGCGACTCATATGTGATGAAATACAGATATATTCTTTATATTCATTTCAATTAAAATGTGCGTTTCTTAAGAGTTCTCCAGAATGTTTCACCTGGCTAAATCAGGGATGGGAAGTCTGTTGCCCTTCAGAAAGGTCTCCTCTCAGGATGATTGTGGCTTATGGGTTTCTTTTCCTTTTCTTTTCTTGTGTGTGCAGAGCATGAAAAGGTTTCCTTGTGGACATCAGTTCCTTGCTCCAACACTATTGTGCGTGATTAAAAATTTTTTAGGATTTTTATTATTTTTCTGTTATTATTGAGCAGCATAAGGGACACATTTCTGAAATAAAACCCAGCATCCAAGTACCACATTTCACCTCATAATAGTCTCATGGTGGCCAGCGACTATCATGCCCTGTGTCTCCAAGGGGGCAAGCATATGAGCAGGTTAATAAAGGGTGAGACTGTTGTGGAGAAATAGCAGAAATGCCAATTTTTCCACCCCGAAAGGGGGGTGCGACTCATATGTGATGAAATACAGATATATTCTTTATATTCATTTCAATTAAAATGTGCGTTTCTTAAGAGTTCTCCAGAATGTTTCACCTGGCTAAATCAGGGATGGGAAGTCTGTTGCCCTTCAGAAAGGTCTCCTCTCAGGATGATTGTGGCTTATGGGTTTCTTTTCCTTTTCTTTTCTTGTGTGTGCAGAGCATGAAAAGGTTTCCTTGTGGACATCAGTTCCTTGCTCCAACACTATTGTGCGTGATTAAAAATTTTTTAGGATTTTTATTATTTTTCTGTTATTATTGAGCAGCATAAGGGACACATTTCTGAAATAAAACCCAGCATCCAAGTACCACATTTCACCTCATAATAGTCTCATGGTGGCCAGCGACTATCATGCCCTGTGTCTCCAAGGGGGCAAGCATATGAGCAGGTTAATAAAGGGTGAGACTGTTGTGGAGAAATAGCAGAAATGCCAATTTTTCCACCCCGAAAGGGGGGTGCGACTCATATGTGATGAAATACAGATATATTCTTTATATTCATTTCAATTAAAATGTGCGTTTCTTAAGAGTTCTCCAGAATGTTTCACCTGGCTAAATCAGGGATGGGAAGTCTGTTGCCCTTCAGAAAGGTCTGCTCTCAGGATGCCGTAGCACTGATTCAGTTCGCTGAGAAGAAACACGAGTTGCAGCCTCGTACCATCTGTAAGATCTCATATTCATTTACCTCAGGGGAAGAAACCAATAAAACAAAATCCTTGGAAGAACCCATTGTACAGAGTTGGGCTTGAAGCAACCTGCTTCCGATCTCCACTAGCTATTTGTTATTATATACTTCATATTGCTTGTTGTATTGTATATAACAGGGGTCCTCAAATTTTTTAAACAGTTGGCCAAGCCCAAACACAAAATTACAATAAAATAAAACTGAAAATGCAAACAATAAACAACAAACAACATAATTACATAAAACATATGAAAACATAGCAATATAGAATTACAATAGGCACAATCACAATGACAATGGGCGGGCTACATGTAATGATTAAAAGAGACTGATTAAAACTAATTAAAACTCAGGCGAGATAAGAGAGAGAGAGATTATTTGCAGAGGAGGACTCATTAAAGTGGGGGTTGTGGAATCAGGCTTTCCCACAAAGTGGGGGACACACACACACATATACTCCAATGACAAAACCTTGAGGCTAAGCAATAGTGTGAGAATGTAAACGTATTCATCAAAAGCACAGCGGAAGAGCCAGGTTTTAAGGTCCTTTTCTAAGGTTTCTAAGGTAGGGGCTTAGGATTGTTGTTGTGTGCTTTCGGGTCGTTTCAGACTTAGGTTGACCCTGAGCGAGGGCCGGGCAAATGACCTTGAAGGGCTGTATGCGGCCCCTGGGCCTTAGTTTGAGGACACCTGGTATATAACAACAACAATCTTTATTTATACCCTGCCACCATCTCTCCAAACGTTATGGCATCCTTTTCCAAAAGGTTGCAACTTCTAACAAGGCCATGCCTTTCCAAAGATCACAAAATCTCCAAAAGGTGATGGAGATTTCCACCCCCAAAAAGGGGGGTGCGACTTATATGTGATGAAATAAGGATATATTCTTTATATTCGTTCCAATAAAAATCGTTGCCTTGCAAGAATGACATTTTCCCAATTTTATTTTATTTTATGTGATGTTATTGTTTTTGTGTATATGTTTTTGCTTTATTGTAAATTTGTTTGGGCTTGGCCTTAGGTTAGTCGCCCTGAGTCCCTTCGAGGAGATGTCTCGGGGTATAAATGCAGCTTATTATTATTATTATTATTATTATTATTATTATTATATAAAATGTTATTATTATTATTATTATTATTATTATTATTAACTTTATTTATACCCCGCTAAATCTCCCGTAGGACTCAATGTGGCTTACAAAGGCCAAGGCTGCCAACAATCAACGACATACAATACACAATAAACTCAAAAGCAAATAATAAACATCAAGCAAAACAATAAAACAGTAAAACATCCTTTTCCAAAAGGTTGCGACGTCTAACAAGGCCATGGCTTTCCAAAGATGACAAGATCTCCAAAAGGTGATGGAGATTTCCATTTCCCAAAAGTACCGAAGGGAAGGACAACTTCCAGAATTTTTCCTTTTGCTTGACTTTCATTATTGGGTAACTGTTCAACCTGGTGATGATCAATACTTCACCCACCTTGCTCAATCTTGTGCTCCCCAGGGCCTGGAGGTGATCGAATCCACCAACCTGAAGTATTTCACCAAGGAGATGACGGCCGAGTTCTACGCGCTGAAGGGGATGTTCTTGGCTCAGATTAACAAGTACGTACGGGCTGGCTAAGGTGAGTGGGTGGGCGCACTTTATTGATTTATTGATATACTAGGTGTCCCCTGCCATGCGTTGCTGTGGCCCTCACGGCGGTTCTGTGTGGGAGGTTTAGCCCAGTTCTATCATTGGTGGGGTTCAGAATGCTCTGTGAACTATAAATCCCAGCAATTACAACTCCCAAATGTCAAGATTCTATTTTCCCAAACTCCACCAGTGTTCACGTTAGAGCATATTGAGTATTTGTGCCAAGTTCGGTCCAGATCCATCATTGTTTGAGTCCACAGTGATCTCTGGATATAGGTGTAGTTATGGTCAGTGGACCAATCACAAACCAGATCTATCTGTCTATCACTAGTGATGTGATAGACAGACGAGCAAATTGTGGCTCGTGTTCAAATGGGAGACGCCCTGAAAAAAGTGTAGAGCGATGCCTGAGAGCCCCGACCTGACTCATGATATATTTGAGCGTCTATTTGAATCCCTGAACTTCAAAAAGGACGAGACCATTCCTGGCAGAAGAGAGCGACTCGTTCCTAAAGAATCCTGAAAACAACCCAGGAAAAAAGGCGTCCGCGCTCTTCTGCCGCTCGCTCTCTCGTTCCCGCGAAGCGCCCAAGCTGCTCCGGCACAAAAGCGCACTTTCTCTCTCTCTTCTTTTTGTGTGGCTTTTAAAAAAAGCGATGATGGGGAGAAGCTGCGATATTGTTCCGGGCAGGATTTTTCTATAGGAAAGACAGTTTAAATTTAGCACTGCTTGAGCCGTGCCCTGGCTCTGATGGAAAGAGATCTGTCAGCGCAGTGCGCAGAACGATGCTCAAAAGCTGGCCTGGATTTGTCAGAGTGGCCCAGCATTTCTGTTGAGCGTCTACTCTCTCCGACGCATGCGCAAAAAGTCTCGTGGTGGTCCAGCATTTCAATTCTCAGATAAGAATATTCTATGTCCAGGTTGGTGCATCATGTGCTCTGCTGTGGCTGACTTCTGTGGTTGAGTTAGTCTGCAGTGCTCTCCGTGTTCCTTGATGCGTGTTTGGGCAACGCTGCTGCGTTTGGGGGTCCCTATGGAGACTTCTTGTCCACAGCTACATGGGATACAATGGTAGACGCCTGCAGTGCTTAGAGCAGCGGTTCTCAACCTGGGGGTCGCGACCCCCAGGGGGGTCTCTGGGCCATTTTCTGGGAGTCTGCGTCAACATTCACATCTGCCTCAAAGAGTTCTTTCTCCCACCCTGGACATTACTCCATATATAGATAGATATATATAAACACTCAGTAACCAGCCAGACCTTGAAGCTGCAAGGCTACTCAATGCTATACTGATTTCTTGGAAACGGCCTTGAGTCGCCAATTGGCTGAGAAAGGCGGAATACAAATACAGTAAATAAATAATAAATAAATAGATAAATAGATAATCAAGGTGGCCAATGGCAACATTCACACTTGCCTGCAATGAGTTCTTTCTCCCAGCCTGGACATTACTCCACGTACTCCACGTAAGCAGCCAGACCTTGAAGCTGCAAGGCCATTCAATGCTAATCAAGGTGGGCAGTTGCAACATTCATACCTGCCTCAAGCAGACAAGAGTTCTTTCTCCCACCCTGGACATTACTCCACATATATATATATAAATAGGCAGTAAGCAGCCAGACCTTGAAGCTGCAAGGCCATTCAATGCTAATCAAGGTGGCCAATGGCAACATTCACACTTGCCTCCAACGAGTTCTTTCTCCCACCCTGGACATTACTCCACATATATATATATTTAAAAAGGCAGTAAGCATCCAGACCTTGAAGCTGCAAGGCCATTCAATGCTAATCAAGTTGGCCAATGGCAACATTCACACCTTCCTCAAGCAGACAAGAATTCTTTCTCCCACCCTGGACATTACTCCACACACATATATATAAACAGGCAGCAAGCATCCAGACCTTGAAGCTGCAAGGCCATTCAGTGCTAATCAAGGTGGCCAATGGCAACATTCACACCTGCCTCAAGCAGACAAGAGTTCTTTCTCCCACCCTGGACATTATTCCACAGGTATATAGGCCTCACTTGCCTAGTTTCCAGCAGACCTCACAACCGTAGATGTGGGCGAAACGTCAGGAGAGAATGCTTCTGGTATATAAACTTCACAACAGACCTCACAACTATAGATGTGGGTGAAACGTCAGGAGAGAATGCTTCCTGAACATGGCCAGAGCAATCCAATGGCTACTCCTAATGGTTGTGATGACAAAATCCCTAACCTGGGCATTGCTAGTGTGAAACTAGAATCCAGAGCAGACTCTTGGACAGGTGTTGATGGGCTGCCCCCGCTTGTGCCCGCCCTGCAGGTCGGAGGAAGCCAACAAGGCCTTCTCGGCGGCGGTGCAGATGCACGACGTGCTGGTGAAGGCGTGGGCCATGTGGGGAGACTACCTGGAGAACATCTTCGTCAAGGAGCGCCAGCTGCACCTGGGCGTCTCCGCCATCACCTGCTACCTCCACGCCTGCCGCCACCAGAACGAGAGCAAGTCACGCAAGTACCTGGCCAAGGTGAGGAGTAGGACCACCGAGAAAGAAAGGCGCGCGCATGGGTGTGTCTGTATTCCTGTCCTCACTAGCCGACCTCTGCCACGCGTTGCTGTGGCCCAGTCGGTGTATATGTGTGTTTTGTGTGTGTGTGTGTGTGTGTTTTTGTATATATATGTATGTGTGGTTTTGCACTTGCCACACATTGCTGTGGCACAGTCTGTGTATATGTGTTTTGTGTGTGAATATGTGTGTATATATATGTGTGTTTGTGTATATATATATGTGTGTGTGGTTTTGCGCCTGCAACACATTGCTGTGGCCCAGTCTGTGTATATGTGTTTTGTTTGTGTGTATATATATGTGTGATCATGTGTATATATGTGGTTTTGGACATGCATTATAATGTGTGGCCCAGTCTGTGTATATGTGTGAGTGTGTGTGGGTTTGCGCTTGCCACACGTTGCTGTGGCCCAGTCTGTGTATATGTGTTTTGTGTGTGAATATGTGTGTATATATATGTGTGTTTGTGTATATATATGTGTGTGTGTGGTTTTGCGCCTGTCACATGTTGCTGTGGCCCAGTCTGTGTATTTGTGTTTTGTGTGTGTGTATGTGTGTATATATTTGTGTATATGTGGGTTTGTGTGTGTATACATATGTGTGTGTGTGTGGTTTTGCGCTTGCCACACGTTGCTGTGGCCCAGTCTGTGAATATGTGTTTTGTGTGTGTGTATGTGTGTGTGTGTATATTTATGTATATATGTGCTTGCGTGTATGTATATATATATGTGTGTGTGTGTGTGGTTTTGCGCTTGCCACACGTTGCTGTGGCCCAGTCTGTGTATATGTGTTTTGTGTGTGTATATGTGTGTGTGTATATATTTTTGTATATGTGTGTTTGCGTATATATATATATATGTGTGTGTGTGTGTGTGTGTGTGTGTGTGGTTTTGCGCCTGCCACAAGTTGTTGTGGCCCAGTCTGTGTATATGTGTTTTGTTTGTGTGTATATATATGTGTGTTTGTGTGTATATATGTGGTTTTGGACATGCATTATAATGTGTGGCCCAGTCTGTGTATATGTGTTTTGTGTGTGGATATGTGTGTGTATATATATTTGTGTATATGTGTGTTTGCATATATATGTATATATATGTGTGTGTGTGTGTGTGTGGTTTTGCGCTTGCCACACATTGCTGTGGCCCAGTCTGTGTATATGTGTTTTGTGTGTGCATATGTGTGTGTATATATATATATGTGTGTGTGTGTGTTGTTTTGCACCTACCACACGTTGCTGTGGCCCAGTCTGTGTATATGTGTTTTGTGTGTGTGTATATATATGTGTGCTTATGTTTATATATGTGGTTTTGCACATGCATTATAATGTGTGGGCCAGTCTCTGTATATGTGTTTTGTGTGTGTGTGTGTATATATATATGTGTTTGTTTATGTGTATATATGTGTGGGCCAGTCTGCGTATATGTGTTTTGTGTGTGTATATATTTATGTATATGTGTGTTTGCGTATATGCATGAGGTTTTGCGCATGTGTTGTAATATATTTGTTTTTTGGCTTTAAAAGTCCCTTCTGTTGTGTTTTTATGAGTGGTGGTCACTCCCTGGCCTGAGAGGTGTGTTGTGTCCAAATTTGGTGTCAATTCACTCAGTGGTTTTTGAGTTGTGTTAATCCCACAAACGAAGATTGCATTTTTATTTATATAGTTGTGGAAAAACTGCGGCCTTGATGCCTGGCATCCAAATCAGACCGTTGGGCGCAGGCTGTTGTGACAAGAACCCAGATCCCGTGCACATTTCATCAATTTTTCAACACAAGCTGGAGGCTTGGCAAATGTTGCAAAGCATCAGCATTAAGCAGGTTGTCAAAGAGAGTCAGTGCGCGCCCTTGGCAGCGTGGACAGTGCGCGGGTCTCTTGCTCTCGGGCAGAGTGCACCATAGTTCAGGGAAAATAGAAAATATATATATATTTACTCAAGTCTCAGGCACCATCGGATCTAATGGGTAGGTCAAGTCTATTGACATCATCATCATCATCATCATCATCATCATCATCATTATTATTATTACTATTATTTGTATTGATTGTCAGAGTATTTACGTTTGCCAGCGGAAGGATTGCTAGATCAGCAGACACTGCGATGCGAAATAAGGACTCTGCAGTCTTTCAGTTGCAAAAGAAAACTAAGTTTATTTATTTACTTATTCATTTACTTTGCTTATATACCGCTGTTCTCAGCCCAAGGGCGACTCACAGCGGTTCACAACCAATAAAACAGCAATAATTCAATGCAATAATGTAACAACAATTAGCAAATTAACATATTACTCAAACAATTATTTATTTTACTAAGTTCTACTAAGTACATCAAACACACGTCTTAGCACAGCGAGCTACAAACAGGAATGAATGGAAAACCGAAAGTCTCTCTGAACACCTGCTTATCTCTTCACTCTGGCTGAGACAGGTGACTCCCTTCTGTTCCCAGCCAGAACACACATTATCTCATTTCTCTCAAGGTTACTTAATCACGGCCTCATGAACACTCTGCATAGCAATTTCTAATGCACAGTAGACTCCATCTTGAAATTACATAGAAGCACATTAGAAAACACACATATAACTAAATTAATCCTGACATTATTACTATTGACACAAAAGCACAGTATGTCACAGGAAACGAGATGTATACGCTGGATTTTGTATCACAAAATCACAAGTCGAACACATGTATAATAATAATAATAATAATAATAATAATAATAATAGGAAGAAGAACTTATTGTTATTATTATTGTTATTGTTATTTTACTGACACAAAAGCACAGTATGTCACAGGAAACGAGATGTATACACTGGATTTCGTATCACAAAATCACAATAATAATAATAGGAAGAAGAAGAAGAACTTATTGTTATTATTATTGTTATTGTTATTTTACTGACACAAAAGCAAAGTATGTCACAGGAAACGAGATGTATACGCTGGATTTCGTATCACAAAATCACAAGTCGAACACATGTATAATAATAATAATAATAATAATAATAATAGGAATAAGAAGAAGAACTTATTGTTATTATTATTGTTATTGTTATTTTACTGACACAAAAGCACAGTATGTCACAGGAAACGAGATGTATACGCTGGATTTCGTATCACAAAATCACAAGTTGAACACATGTATAATAATAATAATAGGAAGAAGAAGAACTTATTGTTATTATTATTGTTATTGTTATTATCTTACTGACAAAAAAGCAAAGTATGTCACAGGAAACGAGATCTATATGCTGGATTTCGTATCACAAAATCACAAGTCGAACACTTGCATAATCATAATAATAGGAAGAAGAAGAAGAACTTATTATTATTGTTATTGTTATTTTACTGACATAAAGCAAAATATGTCACAGGAAATGAGATGTATACGCTGGATTTCGTATCACAAAATCACAAGTCGAACACTTGTATAATCAGAATAATAGGAAGAAGAAGAACTTATTCTTACTATTATTGTTGTTATTATTTACACCCCTTTTCTCTCCACAAAGAGACTCAAAGGGACTATTATTACTATTAGGTAAAAACAAAGGTTTTTCCCTGACATTAAATCCAGTCGAGTCCGACTCTGGGACTCTGGTGCTCAATCTCCATTTGTAGGCCAAAGAACCGGCATTGTCCATAGTCACCTCTAAGGTCATGTGGCCACTGGCAGGACTGCATGCGAGTGCAGCATTCTTCCAAATGAAGCAGAGAGTGTTTGAGGACCGGGGCATCCGTAGGGAGACCAAGGGGCTTGTCTACAAAGCGATTGTCCTCCCAACCCTGCTCTACGCCTGCGAAACGTGGACTGTCTACAGATGTCACACTCAAATCCTGGAATGATTCCATCAGCGCTTGGGACAGCGGCGGAACCCTCCAGTTGGTGTGTGACCACATGTCCATTAGAACGGTATTTTCTGCGAATGTTGTGTTAACGGCGTGCTTTCTCTCTCTCTTTGTTTCCAGGTTCTTTGGCTGCTCAGCTTTGACGACGACAAGAACACGCTGGCGGACGCTGTGGACAAGTACTGCATTGGCGTCCCCCCGATCCAGTGGCTGGCTTGGATCCCACAGCTCTTGACCTGTTTGGTTGGGTCAGAGGGCAAGCTGCTCTTGAACCTTATTAGCCAGGTACGGACGCTTTGTGGTGCAAGGCTGATCCTTGGGCCGCTCAGAATACAGAATTTCAGGAAAATTAAAAAAAAGTGTTTACAAATAATTAAAAAAACTAAAAGAGGGATTTCTGCCACAACGAGACAACATAAGCAGCCCATCAATCTTGCAAAGTATCAAATAGATACATTCATCTACTCATTTTTAGGATTTTTTAAAAATTAAATTAAATGTAAAATATATATACTACAACGTGAAACGCTCTGAAACATTGAATGTTTCCTAGTCTCTCCGAAATGTTTCAGAGGCTTCACTTTCGTTTCGTAATGCTTTCGTTTCGTAATTCAAAGCAATGTCCACAAAAGATATAAAAACAATCCAAGGCAGTGGGTTGTTGTAGGTTTTTTCGGACTATATGGCCATGTTCTAGAGGCATTCTCTCCTGACTTTTCGCCTGCATCTATGGCAAGCATCCTCAGAGGTAGTGAGGTCTGTTGGAACTAGGAAAAAGGGTTTATATATCTGTGGAATGACCAGGGTGGAACAAAGGACTCTTGTCTGCTGGAGCTAGGTGTGAATGTTTCAACTGACCACCTTGATTAGCATTTGAAGGCCTGTCTGAGCCTGGGGCAATCCTTTGTTGAGTGGTGATTAGATGTGCCGGATTGTTTCCTCTCTGTTGTTGTGCTGTTGTAATTTTAGAGTTTTTTTTAATACTGGTAGCCAGATTTTGTTCATTTCCATGGTTTCCTCCTTTCTGTTGAAATTAGAATCATAGAATCATAGAATCCTAGAAGAGTTGGAAGACACCTCCTGGGCCATCATCCAGTCCAACCCCATTCTGCCAAGAAGCAGGAATATTGCATTCAAATCACCCCTGACAGATGGCCATCCAGCCTCTGTTTAAAAGCTTCCAAAGGAGGAGCCTCCACCACACTCCGGGGCAGAGAGTTCCACTGCTGAACGGCTCTCACAGTCAGGAAGTTTTTCCTCAGGTTCAGATGGAATCTCCTCTCTTGTAGGTGAAGCCATTGTTCCATTGCGTCCTAGTCTCCAGGGAAGCAGAAAGGAAGCTTGCTCCCTCCTCCTCCCTGTGGCTTCCTCTCACATATTTATACATGGCTATTATATCTCCTCTCAGCCTTCTCTTTTTCAGGCTAAACATGCCCAGCTCCTTAAGCCGCTCCTGATAGGGCTTGTTCTCCAGACCCTTGATCATTTTAGTCACCCTCCTCTGGACACATTCCAGCTTGTCAATATCTCCTTTGAATTGTGGTGCCCAGAATTGGACACAATATTCCAGGTGTCCACCTGCTTCTTGTGGATTTCAATGGCTTCTCTGTGTAGTCGGACATGGTGGTTGTGAGAGTGGTCCAGCATTTCTGTGTTCTCAAATAATATGCTGCGTCCAGGTTGGTTCATCAGGTGCTCTGCTATGGCTGACTTCTCTGGTTGAAGGAGTCTGCATATAGCCTGAAAAAACCTAAACCACGCAGTGATTCCAGCCATGAAAGCCTTTGACAATACAAATCCAAGGCAGTAGTTATCCAGACAGGAATCAATAGGTTGCAAAGATAATCCAGAAGGTGCGAGACCACAGCAAAATGCTAAAAATCTCTATAAGAACAAGACCCCTTGAACATGATTTCCAAACGATGCCTGATCTAACAGGCTTTCTCTTGAAGCGAACCTTATATCCCAAAGCCCAAAAATGGGTTTCGTTTTCCCCCACTTTTGCCTCTTATCTGACGAAGCCTTTTGGAGCAACGTAAACATTGAGTTTGTTGTCGATCCGGGCTGAACTCTAGCCGCCTGTTTTTCAACTCCCTTTCTGGCTGCTCATTACAATTTCCAGGTGTCAGATTGTTTTCCAAACTCAAATCTTGAGAGCTCACAGAAAGAGGGAGTGAACCGTCATCCTTAAGTGGAGGCTCCTTTGGAAGCTTTGAAACAGGCTGGATGGCCATCTGTCAGGGGTGATCTGAATGCAATATTCCTGCTTCTTGGCAGAATGAGGTTGGACTGGATGGCCCAGGAGGTCTCTTCCAACTCTTTGATTCTATGATTCTAAGCCCAGCAGGGATATTCTCATGAGAAACTGCCCTTTGCACTGGGGCCTCTCTGTCACTGTCTGCATGAAAATAATTGACCAGACCATCTCCATCTTGGACCTCAGCCTCGGCACCATCATTTCCCTCAACATGTCCCACATCAAGAGCATCATGATCCTGAGCATCGTGAAACACAAACACAGGCGGAGTCCCAACATGAATTATGAAACGGACCTCCAGTGCTTTGCACAGACCAAATCTCTCTCTATATAAATGTCATGTTCATTTGTGGGATTAACATAACTGAAAAACCTCTGGATGAATTGACACCAAATTTGGACACAAGGCACCTCTCAGGCCAATGAGTGACCATCACTCATAAAACCACTCCAAAGGTCAGGGACACACTTTTCTCAAGCGCTGCCTTCGAGCCCAACTCTTTTCCAGAAAAGGAAGGAAGGGGAGAAGGAAAGTAAAAAAGAGAAGGAAGGAAGGGAAGAGAGAGAGAAGGAAGGAAGGAAGGGAAGGGAAGAGGGAAAGAAGAAAAAAAGCAGAGAAGGAAGGAAAGAAAGAGGTAGAGAAGGAAGGAAGGAAGGAAGGAAGGGGAGAATGAAGGAGGGAAAGAAAAAGGAAGGCTATGCAGGAAAGAGGTAGAAAAGGAAGGAAGAAAGGAAAGAAAAAAGAGAAAAGAAGGGGAAAGAGGGAGAGGAAAGGAAGGAGAGAAAGGAGGGAAAGAGGGAAGGAAGGAAGAAGGAAGGAAAGAGGAAGAAGGAAAAAGAGAAGGAAGGAAAGAAAGAGGTAGAGAAGGAAGGGAGGGAAGAAAAAGAAAATGAAGGAAAAAAGCAGAGAAGGAAGGAAAGAGAGGTAGAGAAGGAAAGAAGGGAGGGAAGGAAAGAGCGAATGAAGGAAAAAAGCAGAGAAGGAAGGAAAGAGGTAGAGAAGGAAAGAAGGGAGGGAAGGAAAGAGCGAATGAAGGAAAAATGCAGAGAAGGAAGGAAAGAAAGAGGTAGAGAAGGAAGGGAGGGAAGGAAAGAGCAAATGAAGGAAAAAAGCAGAGAAGGAAGGAAGGAAAGAGGTAGAGAAGGAAGGGAGGGAGGGAGGGAGGGAGGAAAGGAAGAAAAGAGCGAATGAAGGAAAAAAGCAGAGAAGGAAGGAAAGAAAGAGGTAGAGAAGGAGGGAGGGAGGGAGGGAGGGAGGAAAGGAAGGAAGGGAAGGAGCGAGGGGAGAATGAGGGAGGGAAAGAAAAGGGGGCCGATGCAGGAAAGAGGTAGAAAAGGAAGGAAAGTAAAAAAGAGAAGGAAGGAAGGAAGGAAGGAAAGAGAGAGGGAAGGAAGGAAGGAAGGAAGGAAGGAAGGAAGGAAGGAAGGAGAAAAGGAAGGATGGAACCAAAGAGCAAAGGAAAGAAGGAAGGAAGGAAGGAAGGAAGGAAGGAAGGAAGGAAGGAAGGAAGGAAGGAAGGAAGGAAGGAAGGAAGGAAGGAAAGAAAGAGGGAGACAAGGAAGAAAGGAGAGAAGGAAATAAAAAAAAGGGAAAGAGAGCGAAGACAGGAAGGAAGGAAGGAAGGAAGGGAAGGAAAGAAAGGAAGGAAAAAAGAGAGAAGGAAGGAAAAAAAGAGGTGGGAAAGAAGGAAGGAAAGGGAGGGAGGAAGGGAGGGAAGGAGGGGGAGGAGAGAGGGAGGAAAGAAAAGGGGGATGCAGGAAAGAGGTAGAAAAGGAAGGAAAGTAAAAAAGAGAAGGAAAAAAAAAAGAAAAGGAAGGAAAGAGAGAGGGAAGGAAGGAAGGAAGGAAGGAAGGAAGGAAGGAAGGAAGGAAGGAAGAAGGAAGGAAGGAAGGAAGGAGAGAAGAGAAGGAAGGATGGAACAAAGAGCAAAGAAGGAAAGAGGTAGAGAAGGAAGAAAGGAGAAAAGGAAATAAAAAAAGAGAAGGAAGGAAAGAGAGAGGGAAGGAAGGGAGAAGGAAAGAAGAGAAAGAGGGAAGGAAGGAAAGAGAGGATGGAATCAAAGATCAAAGGAAAGAAGGAAAGAGGTAGAGAAGGAAGAAAGGAGAGAAAGCAGAAGGGAAAGAAAAAGGGGGGAAGGAAAGAGAGAAAGAAAGGAGAGAAAGAGGGAGGGAAGGTTGGCCACAGCAACGCGTGGCAGGTACAGCTAGTGTGTATGTGTGTGTGTGTGTGTGTGTGGAGGGGGGGGATAAAGAAGAAGAGGAAAACAGTATCTCTTTCCGTTAAGTGGCTGTTTTTCCGCCCATTACAAAAAATGTGCAAAACCACATATATAAACACAAACACAAATATATACATAAATATGCACACACACAAAACACGTATACACATATACACAAATATATACACACACAAAACACATATACACAGACAGGGCCTCAGGCCAACGAGTGACCATCACTCATAAAAACACTGAAAAACACAGCGGAAGGGTCTTGAAAAGCCAAAAAAATGAAAAATACATTACAAAAAATGTGGAAAACCACATATATAAACACAAGCACACATATACACAAATATACACACACAGAGATAGGGCCTCAGGCCAACGAGTGACCATCACTCATAAAAACACTGAAAAACACAGCGGAGGGGACTTTAAAAGCCAAAAAAATGAAAAATACATTGCAAAAAATGTGCAAAACCACATATATAAACACACAAATATACACAAATATACACACACACAAAACACATATAGACAGACAGGGCCTCAGGCCAACGGGTGACCATCACTCATAAAAACACTGAAAAACACAGCAGAAGGGACTTGAAAAGCCAAAAAAATGAAAAATACATTACAAAAAATGTGCAAAACCACATATATAAACACAAACACAAATATATCCATAAATATATACACACACACAAAACACGTATACACATATACACAAATATACACACACACAAAACACGTATACACAGACAGGGCCACAGCAACGCGTGGCAGGGGATGGCTAGTAAATAACAAACCGTTTGGATTGCCGGACCTTGAATAAAATAATGTTTTGTTTTGTTTTGTGCAGGTTGGGCGTGTGTACCCGCAAGCGGTCTACTTCCCCATTCGAACCCTTTATTTGACGCTGAAGATCGAGCAGCGCGAACGCTACAAAAGCGGTAAGCGAGGAACGTCGCTCCGCCGGGTTTTCGGCATCTCGCTCTCACGTCAGAGTTGGTTAGTCGGGTCGGTCTCTTAAGCGTTGACCATCTTTCTTCCAACCTACAAGTTTGCTTTCCTAATTTGTTAATAGGATCAGCGGACGCTCGTCTGGTGGAGCCAGAGTGGGTTTAATTTTTTTAATGCTGATACCGGGTTAATACCGCACAATGGAATTGCATTATGGATTATTGTATTACGGTGGTAAAATATTATGGGGATAATAATTAAGGATTTTTATGTTAATTCTTGCAGCCTGCAGGATTCCCACCAGCCCCCAATCCCCTCTCCCAAAGGATAATTCTGCTCTATCCAGCCTTTTTATTAGTATTAGAAGTATTATATTGTATTACTTTATAATATTTATTTTTTATTTTAAAAGTATATTTTAATATTATTATATTATATTATTATAATATTATTATAATAAAATAATATAACATAATTATACAATTATATTATTATTATTATTATTATTTGAAGTATGTTATTGTATTACATTATAATATTTATTTTTTATTTAAAAAGTATATTATTAATATTATGATATTATATTATTATATTATTATAATAAAATAATGTAACATAATTATACAATTATATTATTATTATTATTTCAAGTATTTTATTGTATTATATTATAATATTTATTTTTATTTAAAAAGTATATTATTAATATTATTATATTATATTATAATAATATTATTATAATAAAATAATGTAACATAATTATACAATTATATTATTATTATTATTTGAAGTATTTTATTGTATTATATTATAATATTTAAAAAGTATATTATTAATATTATTATATTATAATAATATTATTATAATAAAATAATGTAACATAATTATACAATTATATTATTATTATTATTTGAAGTATTTTATTGTATTACATTATAATATTTATTTTTATTTAAAAAGTATATTATTAATATTATGATATTATATTGTTATATTATTATTGTAAAATAATATAAAATAATAATTATAAAATGATATTATAATATTATTATATTGTATTAAGATATATTATTAATATTATTATGTTATTAGCACAGTGCAGGAAATGTTATATATCAATGTATAGGGCCTTGAATCTGTAACCTACTTGTATTACAGGATGAAAACCAAGTCGTTCTATGTATTGTATTATACCACTATACTATAATATTATTAGTAATATAACATGTAATATAAAATATATAATTATAATATTGTATGATTATTAAAAGTATTATATTGTATTACATTATAATATTTATTTTTATTTTAAAAATCAATTATTAATATGATGATGTTTATATTATATTATTATTATATTATATTATATAACATAATAATTATAAAATTATATTATTATTATTATTATAAGTATTATATTGTATTACATTATAATATTTATTTTTATTTTAAAAATTATATTATTAATATTATATTATTATATTAAAATAATATAACAATAATTATAAAATTATATTATTATTATTATTATTATAAGTATTATATTGTATTACATTATAATATTTATTTTTATTTTAAAAATTATATTATTAATATTATATTATTATATTAAAATAATATAACAATAATTATAAAATTATATTATTATTATTATTATTATAAGTATTATATTGTATTACATTATAATATTTATTTTTAATTTAAAATATTTTAAATAATATATTATAAGAAAATAAATAACATAATAATTATAAAATTATATTATTATTTTTATTTGTAAAATTAATAATTATTATCATTTAATAATAATTAAATTATTATTATTAATCATGATAATCATTATATAATTATAATTAAATAGTGATATGATAATAATAATGTCATTATATAACGATTATCATGATTAATAATAATAATTTAATAACAATTTTATTTATAAAATTCATAATTATTATCATTAATAATAATTAAATTATTATTATTAATCATAATTATTATATAATGACAAGGATATATTGATATAATGACAATGATAATATCACTATATCATTATTATTATGTAATATCATGATTAATAATACTAATAATTTAATAATATTATTATTTATAAAATTTATAATTATTATCATCAATAATTAATACGAATAAATAATATTTATTAATATTTATTATTATTATTATTAATAATGATAATCATTATGATGTTAACATCATGATATTAGTAATATAATACAATATAAATATAACATAAAAATATAAACAATAAAAATATAACATAATTATAAAATTATATTATTATTATTATTAGAAGTATTATATTGTATTGCATTATAATATTTATTTTTATTTTAAAATTATTAATATTATGTTATATTATTATACTATTATAAAAATAATATATTATTATTAGAAGTATTATATTGTATTAAATTATAATTATTTATTTTATATTTTAATATTATTAACTATTAATATTATGTTATATTATTATTATATTATATAATATATTATTATTATAAGTATTGTATTTATTATTATAATATTAATTTAAAATATATTATTATATTATGTTATATTATTATAATATTATTATAATAAATAATATTATTAATAATTAATAATTTATTAATTATTACAGTTATTATCTTGTATTATATTAATAATATTATGATGTTATATTATTATTATTATTAGAAGTATTATATTGTATTACATTATAATATTTATTTTATTTTTAAAATTATAATGTTAATATTTTGATATATTATTATAATAAAATAATATAACATAATAATTATAAAATCATATTATTATTATTATTAGAAGTATTTTTTATATTGCGTTATAATATTTATTTTTATTTTAAAAATTTTATTAATAATATAAATTATATTATTATTATAATAAAATAATATAGCATAATTATAAAATTATATTATTATTATTAGAAGTATTATATTGTATTACATTATAATTTTTATTTTTATTTTTAAAATTATATTATTAATATTATGATATTATATTATTATAATATTGTTATAATAAAATAATATAAAATAGTAATAATAAAATTATATTATTATATTATATTGTATTAAAATATATTATTTATATTATTATGGAGAGACCTTCAGGGACATGGTTAACGGCGGCTTTAAGGCCGCGTCGTGCAGAGGGATTTTATGACCGGAAAGGCTCCTGTGAACGTCCATTTCGGAAGCGTGTGGCCGTTCATGGCACACCGGTTTTATAGTAAACATCAGCCGGAAGCCGAATGCCATAAAAAGAGCAATGTTTTCCAGCTTGGCTTTTCAATGAAATATCTCCTTTTGACGGTTTTATTGAAGCAGGAACAAAAAAAAGTGCTTATTTGGAGCAAAACTAAAAATTCCCATAACGGAGCGTGTAAATAACGGGCCTATAATGGATATGCAACACACTCTCTCACTAAAACTTCTCACACCAGGCCTACTAACACTGAGATGGCCTGTCTCTCACTGAGGGCATCTCACACTGAGGGCTCTCTCAGACTGAGGCCTTTCTCCCACTGTGGAGAAATAACACTGAGGGCTACTCATACTGAGGCCTACTAACGCACTCTCTCACTAAAGCTTCTCTCTCACTAAAGCTTCTCTCTCACAAACTCTCTCACTAAAGCCTCTCACTGAGGCCTGTCTCTCCCTTAGGCCGTCTCACACTGAGGACTCTCTCACACTGAGGCCTTTCTCCCACTGAGAAGTAACACTGAGGGCTACTCATACTGAGGCCTATTAACTCACTCTGTCACTAAAGCTTCTCACACCAGTGCCTTTTGAGACTGAGGCCTACTAACACTGAGATCTGTCTCTCACTGAGGCCATCTCACACTGAGGGCTCTCTCAGACTAAGGCCTTTCTCCTATTGAGGATAAATAACACTGAAGCCTATTCATACTGAGGCCTGTCTCTCACTGAGGCCATCTCACACTGAAGGCTCTCTCAGACTGAGACGTTTCTCCCATTGAAAATAAATAACACTGAAGCCTACTCATACTGAGGCCTGTCTCTCACTGAGGCCATCTCACACTGAGGGCTCTCTCAGACTGAGGCCTTTCTCCCACTGAGAAGTAACACTGAGGGCTACTCATACTGAGGCCTACTAACACACTCTCTCACTAAAGCTTCTCACACCAGCCCTTCTGAGACTGAGGCCTACTAACACTGAGATCTGTCTCTCACTGAGGCCATCTCACACTGAGGGCTCTCTCAGACCGAGGCCTTTCTCCCACTGAGGATAAGTAACACTGAGGCCTACTAACACACTCTCTCACTTAAGCTTCTCACACCAAACCTTCTCAAACTGATGCCTATTAACACTGAGGCCTACCTCACACTGAGGACTCTCTCACACTGAGGACTCTCTCACAGTGAGACCTTTCTCCCACTGAGGAGAAATAAGACTGAGGCCTACTCATACTGAGGCCTACTAACACACTGTCCATGTGTTAGCAATGTCTTTTCTTGGCGTGGCATCTTTCCCAGGCGGTGTGTTGCGTTGTCCTCTGACCATCCTGTCTTTCGCCCCCTCGCCCCCTTCTTCTTCCGGTCCAGATTCGGGGCAGCAGCAGCCGAGTTCGGTGGGGAGCCAGTCCCACTCGGCCTCGGACCCGGGCCCCATCCGCGCCACGGCCCCCATGTGGCGCTGCAGCCGCATCATGCACATGCAGCGGGAGCTGCACCCCACACTCCTCTCCTCGCTCGAGGGCATCGTGGACCAGATGGTCTGGTTCAGAGAAAACTGGCACGAGGAGGTAGGAAGAGTTCGGTTCTCATATTCTCATATTATTACATAAATAAATAAATAAATAATATTAGATTATTATTATTTTAAATAAATAATATTAGATTTTACATTATTATTATTATTATTTTAAATAAATAATATTACATTTTGCATTATTATTATATTATTATTTTAAATAAATAATATTACATTTTGCATTATTATTATTATTATTATTATTATTATTTTAAATAAATAATATTACATTTTGCATTATTATTATTATATTATTATTTTAAAGAAATAATATTACATTTTGCATTATTATTATATTATTACTTTAAATAAATAATATTACATTTTGCATTATTATTATTGTTATATTATTATTTTAAATAAATAATATTACCTTTTGCATTATTATTATATTATTATTATTATTATTATTATTATATTATTTTAAATAAATATATATTATTATTATATTTCATATAAATAATATTACATTTTGCATTATTATTATTATTATATTATTTTAAATAAATAATATTACATTTTGCATTATTATTATTATTATTATATTTTAAATAAATAATATTACATTTTGCATTATTATTATTATTATATTTTAAATAAATAATATTACATTTTGCATTATTATTATTATATTTTAAATAAATAATATTACGTTTTGTATTATTATATTATTATTTTAAATAAATAATATTACATTTTGTATTATTATATTATTATTTTAAAGAAATAATATTACATTTTGTATTATTATATTATTTTAAAGAAATAATATTACATTTTGCATTATTATTATATTATTATTATTATTTTAAATAAATTATATTACATTTTGCATTATTATTATATTATTTTAAATATTACATTTTGCATTATTATTATTATATTATTTTAAATAAATAATATTACATTTTGCATTATTATTATTATTATTTTAAATAAATAATATTACATTTTGCATTATTATTATATTATTATTTTAAATAAATAATATTACATTTTGCACTATTACATTATTATTTTAAATAAATAATATTACATTTTGCATAATATTACATTTTGCATTATTATTATTATTATTATTATTATTATTATTATTATTTTAAGGGGCCACATTGGTGCAGCAGGTTAAACCGCTGAGCTGCTGAACTTGCTGACCGGAAGGTCAGCAGTTCAAATCCGCAGGACGCGGTGAGCTCCCACTGTTAGACCCAGCTTCTGCCAACCTTGCAGTTCGGCAATATGCAAAAATGAGTAGGTCGATAAGTATTCCTTCTGCTGAAAGGTAGTAGGTCAATAGGTATTCCTGGAAGGTAATGGTGCTCCATGCAGTCATGCTGGCCACGTGACCTCGGAGGCGTCTATGGACAACGCTGGCTCTTCAGATTAGAAATGGAGATGAGCTCCAACCTCCAGAGTCGGACACAACTGGACTTAATGTCAAGGGGAAACATATTATTATTATTATTATTATTATTATTATTATTATTATTTTAATTACATATGTATTACTCGAGTGGGAGCGTGTTCCGTGTCTGGAGTGCGTGACCCGCCGGCGTGTGTTGTGTGCCTCCGCCAGGTCCTCCGGCAGTTGCAGCAGGGACTGGCCAAGTGCTACTCGGTGGCCTTTGAGAAGAGCGGGGCCGTGTCGGACGCCAAGATCACGCCGCACACCCTCAACTTCGTCAAGAAGCTGGTCAGCACCTTCGGCGTCGGCCTGGAGAACGTCTCCAACGTCTCCACCATGTTCTCCAGCGCGGCCTCCGAGTCCCTGGCCCGGAGAGCCCAGGCCACGGCCCAGGACCCCGTCTTCCAGAAGCTCAAGGGACAGTTCACCACCGGTGAGTCGGGGGATTTTTCTCTCCATGGTTCTAAAGTCCTTACAAAACTAAAGTTCTGGTGGTGAAAATTTCAGCACTCTAACAAAACTCTCAATTTTTCCCTCCACGGTTTTACTATTTATTCAACACCAACTTGTGTACTAGGCCTGTTTAATGCATGGCTCTAAATGGTTCCGAAGTCCTTACAAAACTAAAGTTCTGGTGGTGAAAATTTCAGCACACTAACAAAACTCTCAATTTTTCCCTCCACGGTTTTACTATTTATTCAACACCAACTTGTGTACTAGGCCTGTTCAATGCATAGTTCTAAATGGTCCCAAAGTCCTTACAAAACTAAAGTTCTGGTGGTGAAAATTTCAGCACTCTAACAAAACTCTCAATTTTTCCCTCCACGGTTTTACTATTTATTCAACACCAACTTGTGTACTAGGCCTGTTTAATGCATGGCTCTAAATGGTTCCGAAGTCCTTACAAAACTAAAGTTCTGGTGGTGAAAATTTCAGCACACTAACAAAACTCTCAATTTTTCCCTCCACGGTTTTACTATTTATTCAACACCAACTTGTGTACTAGGCCTGTTCAATGCATAGTTCTAAATGGTCCCAAAGTCCTTACAAAACTAAAGTTCTGGTGGTGAAAATTTCAGCACTCTAACAAAACTCTCAATTTTTCCCTCCACGGTTTTACTATTTATTCAACACCGACTTGTGTACTAGGCCTGTTTAATGCATGGCTCTAAATGGTTCCGAAGTCCTTACAAAACTAAAGTTCTGGTGGTGAAAATTTCAGCACACTAACAAAACTCTCAATTTTTCCCTCCACGGTTTTACTATTAATTCAACACCAACTTGTGTACTAGGCCTGTTCAATGCATAGTTCTAAATGGTCCCAAAGTCCTTACAAAACTAAAGTTCTGGTGGTGAAAATTTCAGCACTCTAACAAAACTCTCAATTTTTCCCTCCACGGTTTTACTATTTATTCAACACCGACTTGTGTACTAGGCCTGTTTAATGCATGGCTCTAAATGGTTCCGAAGTCCTTACAAAACTAAAGTTCTGGTGGTGAAAATTTCAGCACACTAACAAAACTCTCAATTTTTCCCTCCACGGTTTTACTATTAATTCAACACCAACTTGTGTACTAGGCCTGTTCAATGCATAGTTCTAAATGGTCCCAAAGTCCTTACAAAACTAAAGTTCTGGTGGTGAAAATTTCAGCACTCTAACAAAACTCTCAATTTTTCCCTCCACGGTTTTACTATTTATTCAACACCGACTTGTGTACTAGGCCTGTTTAATGCATGGCTCTAAATGGTTCCGAAGTCCTTACAAAACTAAAGTTCTGGTGGTGAAAATTTCAGCACACTAACAAAACTCTCAATTTTTCCCTCCACGGTTTTACTATTAATTCAACACCAACTTGTGTACTAGGCCTGTTCAATGCATAGTTCTAAATGGTCCCAAAGTCCTTACAAAACTAAAGTTCTGGTGGTGAAAATTTCAGCACTCTAACAAAACTCTCAATTTTTCCCTCCACGGTTTTACTATTTATTCAACACCGACTTGTGTACTAGGCCTGTTTAATGCATGGCTCTAAATGGTTCCGAAGTCCTTACAAAACTAAAGTTCTGGTGGTGAAAATTTCAGCACACTAACAAAACTCTCAATTTTTCCCTCCACGGTTTTACTATTTATTCAACACCAACTTGTGTACTAGGCCTGTTCAATGCATGGTTCTAAATGGTTCTGAAGTCCTTACAAAACTAAAGTTCTGGTGGTGAAAATTTCAGAACTCTAACAAACTCTCAAAATTTCATTATAAATGGCAGTTCCTAATTGGTTCTGTCATAAAAATCGCCAATAATGAAATAATAATTAAATTTTGAAAGAGTTCTGAAATTTTCACCACCAGAACTTTAGTTCCATCCATCCATCCATCTGTCCATCTATCAATCTGTCTATCTATCAACCTGTCTATCTATCCATCAGTCCATCCATCCATCTATCAGTCTGTCTATCTATCCATCCATCCATCTGTCCATCTATCAATCTGTCTATCTATCCATCCATCCATCCATCCATCTATCTATCCATCTGTCCATCTATCAATCTATCTATCCATCCATCCATCCATCCATCCATCTATCTATCCATCTGTCCATCTATCAATCTGTCTATCTATCCATCTTCCCATCCATCCATCCATCCATCCATCCATCCATCCATCCATCCATCAATCTGTCTATCTATCCATCTGTCCATCCATCCATCAATCTGTCTATCTATCCATCCATCTATCAATCTGTCTATCTATACATCCATCTATCCATCCATCTATCAATCTGTCTATCCATCCATCCATCCATCCATCCATCCATCTATCAATCTGTCCATCCATCCATCCATCCATCCATCCATATCAATCTATCTATCTATCCATCCATCAGTCCATCCATGCATCCATCCACCCATCTGTCTATCTATTCATCTATCTATCTATCTATCTATCTATCTATCTATCTATCTATCTATCTATCTATCTATCTTTTTATCTATCAGTCCATCCATCCATCTATCAGTCTATCTATCTATCTAGACCTTGGCCATTCTATAGATACACACCCACTCACTTTCCTCACTGCCAAGTGAACCTCTGAGGACGCCATTAGCCACAGATACAGGCCAAACTTCAGGAGAGAATGCCACTGACACATGACCATGCAGCCCGGAAAACTCACAGCAGCCCAGAAGTCTTGCCTTTTATGAGAATCCCGCTGAACCTTCCAGCGTTGGGGAGGATTTCCGACCATCTCTGATATTTCGCGTTTGAAAGCACGAAAGGGATGCTCAACTTCCAGAATTAGAAAAATGTTCTGATTATCTTTGACTGATTTTGGGATATTTTATTATTTTTTCAATTACGATGAGTCACGCATCACTCCGGGATTAAAACGGCCGTTTCCAGAGGCGCAAAATGAGATTTCTTTAATCTGCGAAACGTGGCGTTTGAATTCAAGGTGGAGGGTGTCACGGGGAGGGAGGGAGGGAGGGGGCGGCAATTAAATCGGTCGAGAGTCTTCGTCCCTTTTGGAGTCCCGGGATGTCATTCATCGGGCCGAAAATAAGTTCTTGATTAATTGGCAACAGTAATAGAATCTCCGCTACTGAATTAATTCCGAGTTAATTGCCATTCCAGTTCAGGGCTAAGAATGAGTCCTCGAGTCACAGATAGAAAGGAAAACATTAGGCATGGGCAATGCGTGGTTCTAAAGTACTTACGAAACTAGAGGGCGCTGGTGCTTTGCTTCTAAAGTGTTGCTAAAGTTCTGGTGGTCAAAATTAAAGAACTCTAACAAAACTTCCAAAATTTCGTTATAAATGGCAGTTCCTAATTGGTTCTGTCATAAAAAAGATAAATACCAAAATAATAATGGAATTTTGAAAGTTTTGTTAAGAGTTCTGACATTTTCACCACCAGAACTTTAGTAACACTTTAGAAGCAAAGCACCAGCGCCCTCTAGTTTTGTAAGAAAAGTTTTTGGGACGATGAGGCCTGGCTCGAGAGCAGGACGTGTGGAAAAGATCTTGGAGTCCTCGTGGACAGCAAGTTAAACATGAGCCAACAATGTGATGTGGCAGCAAAGCCAATGGGATTTTGGCCTGCATCAATAGGAGCATAGTGTCTAGATCTAGGGAAGTCATGCTACCCTTCTGTTCCGCCTTGGTTAGACCACACCTGGAATATTGTGTCCAATTCTGGGCACCACATTCAAGAGAGATATTGACTCTAAGCTGGAATGTGTCCAGAGGAGGGCGACTAAAATGATCAAGGGTCTGGAGACAAGCCCTATGAGGAGCGGCTTAAGGAGCTGGGCATGTTTAGCCTGAAGAAGAGAAGGCTGAGAGGAGACATGATAGCCATGTATAAGTATGTGAGAGGAAGCCATAGGGAGGAGGGAGCAAGCTTGTTTTCTGCTTCCCTGGAGACTAGGACGCAATGGAACAATGGCTTCAAACTACAAGAGAGGAGATTCCATCTGAACATGAGGAAGAACTTCCTGACTGTGAGAGCCGTTCAGCAGTGGAACTCTCTGCCCCGGAGTGTGGTGGAGGCTCCTTCTTTGGAAGCTTTTAAACAGAGGCTGGATGGCCATCTGTCAGGGGTGCTTTGAATGAAATATTCCTGCTTCTTGGCAGAATGGGGTTGGACTGGACGATGGGCCAGGAGGTCTCTTCCAACTCTAGGATTCTAGGATTCTAGGTGTCTTGACCTTCATAAACTCTCTTGAGAAGGTCTGTGTTGACGTAATGTAAATGTCCTATCTAACTGCTGCTCACTGGGGGTGCTTTGAATGCAATATTCCTGCGTCTTGGCAGAATGGGGTTGGACTGGATGATGGGCCAGGAGGTCTCTTCCAGCTCTTGGATTCTAGGATTCTATGATTCTAAGTCATAAAAAGAAGTCCTTTCAGAACGTTCCATGTTTTTATGTCTCCCGTCCAAAAGAGACAATGATGGGAACACATTGCATCTTGCAGGAGGCAAAGCTCTTGCGGAATATTAGAAGGGAGGGAGCCGAGGGGCCACTACTGAGAAGGCCCTGTCTCTCGTCCCTGGTAAAAAAACATTTAAAATTTCCCCAAAATCAGTGGATGAGTGAAATGTTTTGAAACTTGGCGTCTTTGCACTTGTAAGTGTGTCTTACAAGTGTGGCAAGTTGCATCCCGATAGCCGTAAAAATGAGGGAAAGACGAGCCTCATTAGTGCACCCATTGGTGCCAATGGATCGAATCTTGCCAAGATTTTGCACACCCCTGCTCTCTGCCTTCTGCGTCCTCTTCCCACCTTTCAATGTCAAGCCTGTGTTTTAGAAACTTGTATGGAAAAGCAGCAGCAATTTGCTGTGATTCTATGTCCTATGATTCTATGTTCTCGTCGTGATGGTAAACCACTGCAGGAAATAAAAGTTGTGTTTTTAGTCTGGGGAAGATCTCAAAGAAAGACTTCCTCGCTGGCTAATTAAACGACCTGCAAAGCGTGGCAGCCACCCTGTGCCATTCCGGTTTGCGCTTGTGCCGAGACTGCGTGTACTTAAGCGGGCTCCGTACGGGAGGCCCGGAACGCAAACAAAGCCAGCTCGTTAATTAACGTTGGGCTCTCTGTCCTTCCGACCTGCTCCCGAGAAGCCACACGCAAGGCGAGAAATGGGTCTGAAATTTGTATGTTTTGGGAAACTGGAACGATTCCTGCGGCAAAATGAATGCCTTATACATGTGAGTTTTTTTTTTTTAAAAAAATTAACACCCTGAATAGTTTTGCTGAAGTTATTTGCATATCATTAGCAAGAATATTGTTCTCACTCTGCGGTGACATTTTCTTCTTGCACTTCGGGGAGCCGCAGGCAGCAAACAAGGCGTCTCTTCCCCTTCTTCTTGAATGGGTGATTTACTCAGGTTGCTCACTAGAGGGTAGGCTTGGAATTATAATCCCTCAATCTATCTATCTATATCTATGTGTATATCTATATCTTCATTCCTCCTGCTGATAGTGTCATCATCCGTTCAAGAATCACTCTGCGTTAAAACCAGGAAGGATAAACGTTGTATCTTGTCTTATTGTTTACTTCCTTGATGCTTTCGGAAATCAGTATTCTTAAAAGATGTAATTTGTGGATATATTTTAAATAGATTTAAATCAGTATGGATTGTCATCCTGACACCTGATGTCCAGGCAGTCCCCGAGTTACGAACATCTGACTCCTAGTTAAGAACAACGGGGATGAGACAACAGGAAGCGAGGGGAATATTCCCCTTGGAAGGGAGGGAGGGAGGAAGAAAGTAAGGAAGGAAAGAAGAAAGGAAGGGAGGAAGAGAGGGAGAGAGGAAGGAAGGAAGGAAGGAAGAAAAGAAGAAAGGAAGGGAGGAAGAGAGGAAGGAAGGAAAGAAAGAAGGAAAGAAGAAAGGGAGGGAGAGAGGGAGGGAGGAAGAAAGGAAGGAAAGAAAGAAGGAAAGAAAGAAAGGAAAAGGAAGGAAGGGGAGGAAAAAGGAAAGAAAAAGGAAGAGAAGGAGAAAGGAGGGAGGAAGAAAAGGAAGGAAGAGGAAGGAAGGAAAGAAAGAAGAAGGAAGGAGGAAGGGAGGAGGGAGGGGAGGGAGAGGAGGAAGGAAGGAGGAAGGAGGAAGGGAGGAAGGAAGGAAAGGAAGAAAGGAAGGAGGAAGGGAGGGAGGGAGGGAGGAGGGAAGAGAGGGAGGGAGGGAGGGAGGAAGGAGAGAGGGAGGAAGGGAGGAAGGAAGGAAGGAAGGGAGGGAGGGAGGAAGGAAGGAGAGAGGGAGGAAGGAAGGAAGGAAGGAAGGGAGGGAGGGAGGGAGGGAGGAAGGAAGGAAGGAAGGAAGGAAGGAAAGGAGGAAGAGAGGGAGGAAGGAAGGAAGGAAGGAAGGAAGGAAGGAAGGAAGGAAGGAAGGAAAGGAGGGAGGGAAATCCACTGCTACATGTTATTATCATGGAGAAATGAATCTTTCTCCCCAATCCTTATTTCTAAAACAAGCCAAATTGCTGGGTTTCCCCCCCAAATTTTCGTTGTTTTTTTTTTCTAGTAAAGACCATAAAAGTAAGTTTTTTAATTTATGGTTTTTCACTTTTATGAGTGGTTTTTGCCCGAACCCCAGTGAATGTGGAGGACCAACTGTACTCGTTTTTGCTATTTGGTGCCTGCAAGTCTCAACATGACATTTATGAATGCATCATCATCATTGGCGATCTCTTGTGTCCGAGGCTGATTGCCTTCCAAGTGCAGGGTCTTGGCCGTGGGTCCATAGGTGACGGTAGAGACCAAGTCTCGATCCGCATGCTCTTTCTTCTGCAGTAAGGACACCTCTTTCCAGGTGGAAGGCGGTCCCAATAAGGATTGGCTTGATGCTCCTTCTTCCTCTTGATATGTTTCTCCCAGGTCCACCCTCTTTAAAGATTTCAGCAGGGATCCCATCAGGTCCGCTGGCTTTGTTTTTTTAAGCCCATCTTTACATCGCTTTTCCTGTTCACCAGCATTCCATTTTCTATTCTTGTGTTGGGAGTAGAGTCACTGCTTTGGGAAACAGTGATCTTTGGGCATTCAGACATGGCTTTCAGTCCTGCAAAGATGATGGCGAAGGATTGTTGCTTCAATGCTTGTGGTCTTTACATCTTCTTCCAGCATGCTGACATTTGTCCACCTTTCTTCTTCCCAAGAGATATGTTTCTCCCAGGCCCACCCTCTTTAAAGATTTCAGCAGGGATCCCATCAGGTCCGCTGGCTTTGTTACTTTAAGCCCATCTTTCAATCTCTTTTCCTGTCCACCAACATTCCATTTTCCATTCTTGAGTTGGGAATAGTTGTATATTTACTATACTCCTATACCGCCATTCTCAGCCCGAGGGCGACTCATGGTGGTTTACAAAACGGCACAATTCGATGCCCACAGTAGTACAAAGATCATTAAACATTAAACATTTAACATAGATAAAAATTCATTACAAATAACATCAACAAAACATAATAAAATACCGTAAGTCCTCCGCATTTCATTACCAATCATTATCCAGTCGTGTGGTCCAACCGTTCTGTGATCAGAGTTTAACAGCTACACTGCGTTTGGGAAAGCCTGCTCATATAGCCAGGTTTTAACTTTTTTGGGTGGGGGCCGATCTAATGTCCCTGGGGAGGGCATTCCACAACTGAGGGGCCACCGCTGAGAAGGCCCTGTCTCTTGTCCCCTCCTGTCTAGCCTGTGAAGATGGCAGGACCGAGAGCAGGGCCTCCCTAGAAGATCTGGGTTGGTAGGAGAGATAGGTTCAGATGATGGCGAAGGATCATTGCTTCAATGCTGGTGGTCTTTGCTTCTTCATCCAGCATGCTGACATTTGCCCACCTTTCTTCTTCCCAAGAGATTTGCAGGATTTTTCAGTCAACTCTGATGGAATTGTTTCAAAAGTTGAGTGTGACATCTGTAGACAGTCCACGTTTTGGAGGCGTATAAAAGGGTTGCTTCATAAACAAGCATACGGATGTCCCGATATTCTAACACTTTTTTTTCATTCAAGAAAACACTGCAATTGCAAAATCTAGATTGTGTTGTATTTTGATGTCTACTTTTTGGGGAGAGGTGGCTGCCCAGGTAGCAGAAGTAACATTTTCTAGCATTGCACCACGAAGCTTCATTTATGAGTGCAATTTGAGGTCTTGATTTTGCTTGCAAAGTGGTGTTTGGAGGCAATTTTAAGTGGATTGACTTTTGGGTGAAGGCTGCAACCTCTGCAAGCATAAGGAGATGTCTGACCCATGTGTGCTAGAGAATAACATCCTTATGACCTATACACACACACACACATATACAATTGGCTGTGAAGACATAGCCTGACGAGGGATAATTCTCCCATAATATGAAAATAAATGGTGAGACAAGCTTATTTAATGTGTAATCTCCGCCGTTTTGGCTCAGCGTGAATTGGAACGGATCCTCTTGGAGGGTTTCTTGCCAATGGCTCATCTGTTTCACAAGAGAATTTGCTTTGCGGTATCTGTGTTGGCGAACTTGTCCCCGCTGTGATCATTTCAAAGGTGTGTCATCACCTCTTTTTGGTTTGTTTCCTATGGTTTTGCTATTGTTCAGACTTCGACTTCAGTGTGCCGGGCTCCATGAAGCTTCACAACCTCATTTCGAAGCTGAAGAAGTGGATCAAGATCCTGGAGGCCAAAACCAAGCAGCTGCCCAAGTTCTTCCTCATCGAGGAGAAATGCCGCTTCCTGAGCAACTTCTCGGCCCAGACCGCCGAGGTGGAGATCCCCGGGGAGTTCCTCATGCCCAAGCCCACGCACTACTACATCAAGATCGCACGGTAAATGCAACCGGGGGGGGGGGGGGGGGGGTTGGAAACGATTACAAGCAGTCCCTGAGTTACAAACAACTCCTAGTTAAGAACAAGGCTGGACTAGATGGCCTTTGGGGGACCCTCCCAAATCTGTGATACAATATCTTTCTCGTATGTGTGTGAATGTGTGTGTGGTGCAGCTGGCTGAGAGTCAGCTGCATTAAAATCACTACTGATTGAGAAGTCATGAGTTCGAAGTCAGCCCGGGTCAGAGTGAGCTTCCAGCCATTTGTCTAGCTTGCTGTTGACCTTTGCAGCCCGAAAGACAGTTGCATCTGTCAAGTAGGAAATTTATGCAGGGAGGCCAATTTAACTAATTTACAACACTATAAAATTCTCCAGCAGCGTGCAAAAGAATGAGGAAGTACTCCATCAGTGTCACAAGTGGACGGTGAAGCAACAGCTCCCCCGGTGGCCAGAATTCAAAAAGCATACCCTCATGAAGCTAGAAAGTTAAATAGCCTTTGTGTCTCTGTCTATATATGTTGCGTGTCTATTGCATTGAATGTTTGTCATGTATATATGCATTGGGATCCACCCTGCTTTCCCTGTGGGGTGAAAAGGGCAGAATATAAATGCTGGGTGTGTGTGTGTGTGTGTGTGTGTGTGTGATATCCCTGAATTACAGATCTCCGACTCGCAAATGAGTCCTAGTTAAGAACAGGGCTGGACTACATGGCCTTTGGGAGACCTTCCAAATTTGTGATACGGTGTCTATCTTGTCTGTGTGTGTGTGTGTATCATCCTTGAGTCACAGACCTACAACTCACAAATGAGTCCTAGTTAAGATCAGGATTGGACTAGATGGCCTTTGGGGGACCTTTCCAAATCTGTGATACTGTATCTATCTCATATGTGTGTGTCTCTGTGTGTGTGTGTGTGCCATCCCTGAGTTATAGACCTACGACTCACAAATGAGTCCTAGATAAGGACTCATTTGTGAGTCCTTATCTAGATAAGAACAAGATTGGACTAGATGGCCTTTGGGGGGCCTTCCAAATCTGTGATATTGTATCTATCTCATGTGTATGTGTGTGTCTATGCCATCCCTGAATTACAGACCTACGACTCACAAATGAGTCCTAGTTAAGAACAGGGCTGGACTAGATGGCCTTTGGGGGACACTTCCAAATCTGTGACACTGTATCTATCTCATATATGTGTGTCTGTGTGTGTGTACGCCATCCCTGAATTACAGACCCACGACTCACAAATGAGTCCTAGTTAAGATCAGGGTTGGACTAGATGGTCTTTGGGGGATCTTCCAAATCTGTGATACTGTAACTACTATATATTCCACTCTTATCTCTCCAAGGAGTGGACTCGGAGCCGATTACAACAGGCACAGATAGGCAAACATTCAATGTGTTTAATACAGTGGGAATAACAATGACCTACAAATAGACAGAACAAAGACAAAGGCTTCCCCTTTCATCTCCGGCTTCTGAAGGCGGTGCTCGACTCTGGCCATGAGGAGGTGCTCTTGTTCCATTTCCAAGCCAAGGAGCTTGTTGCCCGTAGACACCTCCTGGTTGTGTTACCGGGATGGCTGCATGGGCGCCTTTATTACCTTCCTGCCGAAGCGGTACTGATTGGGGTTGGGCTGGATGGCCCATGAGGTCTCTTCCAACTCTAGGATTCTATGAGACTCTGGTTTCCAAAGTCACAACGTGACTTTTGGAGCAACTTGTTGACTTCAGCAAGCAAGATGTTTACGGTTGCTTCAAAATAGGGGAGATGTGTGTCCCGAGGTGACACCCATGGAGAGAAGGACTTGGCACTGCGCCAAGTCGTATTGCTCTCACTCCACAGGAAGTGGGTCAGGGGAAGGCTTTAATGACCGCCCCTTGTAGCTAACGCCCCTTTCATTATCCTTTGGTGACACCTCTGGATAGTTCGTTTTCCTGCTGGCGTGATATGTCCTTCTGGGCCCGGTCCCTCCGTGCTCTGAGCAATTTTTAACTCCTCAATTATAATCCCATTTTCCCTGGCGCATGTCTTGAGAACGATATTCCTGGTCTATCTGATATTGGTGTTGGGGTTCAGCCTGTGTGTGAACCTGTACCTGACTCTCTGATTGTATTTCCTGATGTCAATGAAGATGTCAATGATTCTGAGGTCAATGTAGAAGATGACGGTTTGTGTAGTGAAAATCCTGCTGCTTTGGAAAGCAAAAGTCCAAATTCCCATGAGAATGATTCAGAGCCAAGCCGTGAACTTTCACTCCCTTTTAGCTCTCCAGATAATCTGACACCTGGTCCCTCTAACGAGGATAGACGGCGGCAGATTTGGCAAAGCAGAGGCGAAGCGCAGAGTTTACGGAGGTCAGCTAGATTAAGAGAAATGCAAACACGGCCTTCAGGCACGTCACGAAATAGATTTATATGCTTTAAAAACGCTTGGCCTGGATGCCCATTCAGTCCAGGCATCGTTTCAGATTCATGTGCAGACTCTTGCAGTTCTCCTGCTTCCAGTGGCTTTGTTCCAAGGAGTTTTTCTAGAGCTTCAAGTACAGTTAGTGGATTGCTAACAGGTTCCAGGATTTAGCAGTGTTACTGTGGGTTTTTGATCTTGTTCATGGACATTTCTTGTTGCTAATTTTTACTGTGGCTTTTTACCTTGCATATTTTCCTCTATTTTTGTACTCATCTTTCATCAGTAAAAAGGATTGTTTTTTCCTGAAGTCAAGTGTGGTGGATTGTTGTTTTAGGGTCCGGTTTCCTGCTCTGGGTTGCAACAATTGTATTATTGTTTTAATTAATGCTTTATGTACTGTTGTAATTAATGTTTAATGTATTTTAATTATTGTTGTATTATTGTAATTGTTTTTATGTAACGGCATCGAATCGTGGGCAGTGTAAGCCTTCCCGAGTCCCCCTTTTGGGGTAGATACGAGATGGGGTAAAAATACCAGAAATAAATAATAAATAATATATAAATAAATATAACTCCACCAATCATTAGCAGTTTCAAGGTGAGGGTGGGATCACTGTCTCGACCCAAAGCCTTCTCGCTGCATGCTTAGGATCGCCCTCCCAGGCTCTTATCTGTGGGAACTCCCGCATAATAGAAAGAAAGGAAGGAAAAAGCCGGTGCTTAAAAGGTGGCATCGTTATAAAAAGGTATAATGGGGGATGTTGGTTTTGCAGAATCTCCGTGTCGCTAATACGCCTCCCTTTTGTTAGCTTTAAGTCTGGCATTTCAATTTCCTTTCCCCTTTTCAAATCCCGCTTTCATCTTGGAGGAGAGAAAGGAAGCCGGAGATTGCGAGAGCTCAGGTGCTTTTATCTCTCTCTCACACACACACCGCTTTATTTCTTTTGCCTCGTGATAGCTTTATGCCCAGAGTGGAGATTGTGCAAAAGCATAACACGGCCGCCAGAAGGCTCTACATCCGAGGTCACAATGGGAAGATCTACCCGTACCTGGTCATGAACGACGCCTGCCTGACCGAGTCGCGCCGAGAGGAGCGTGTCCTGCAGCTCCTCCGCCTCCTCAACCCGTGCCTGGAGAAGAGGAAGGAGACCACCAAGAGGCACCTCTTCTTCACAGGTGGGTCCACAAACAGCCCCTCAGCACGGCCTTCACACACGAGGCTTCTCTCACACAGAGGTCTACCTCACACTCCTCAGGACGACACTAGCCTTCAACAATATCAAAGAAACATAATATTCTAGTTGCACTGTTTACAAGAACAAAGTTTCCATAACACAAATAAACAAATACATAGTAGCTCTACACGCAGCAGCCTTTCTCACACGAGGCTTCTCTCACACAGAGGTTTACCTGACACTCCTCAGGATGACAGTAGCCTAAGAACAAGGTTTCCATAACACAAATAAACAAATACATAGTAGCTTTACATGCAACACCCTTCACACCGGAGCTTTCTCACACAGAGGTTTACCTCACACTCCTCAGGATGACACTAGCCTTCGACAATATCAAAGAGACATAATATTCTAGTTGCACTGTTTACAAGAACAAGGTTTCCATAACACAAATAAACAAATCCATAGTAGCTTTACACGCAGCAGCCTTTCTCACATGAGGCTTCTCTCACACAGAGGTTTACCTCACACTCCTCAGGACGACACTAGCCTTCAACAATATCAAAGAAACATAATATTCTAGTTGCACTGTTTACAAGAACAAGGTTTCCATAACACAAATAAACAAATACATAGTAGCTCTACACGCAGCAGACTTCACAGCGGAGATTTCTCACACAGAGGTTTACCTCACACTCCTCAGGACGACACTAACTTTCAACAATATCAAAGAAACACAACACATATAAACAAATACATAGTAGCTTTACACGCAGCAGCCTTCACACCGGAGCTTTCTCACACTGGGCTTCTCTCACACAGAGGTTTACCTCACACTCCTCAGGACGACACTAGCCTTCGACAATATCAAAGAAACATAATATTCTAGTTGCACTGTTTACAAGAACAAGGTTTCCATAACACAAATAAACAAATACATAGTAGCTTTACACGCAGCAGCCTTCACACCGGAGCTTTCTCACATCAGGCTTCTCTCACACAGAGGTTTACCTCACACTCTTCAGGACGACACTAGCCTTCGACAATATCAAAGAAACTCAATATTCTAGTTGCACCCTAACCCATAACACAAATAAACAAATACATAGTAGATTTACACACAGCAACCTTCACACCAGAGCTTCCTCACACGAGGCTTCTCTCACAAAGAAGTTTACCTCACACTTCCCAGGACGACACTAGCCTTCAACAATATCAAAGAAACTTAATATTCTAGTTGCACTGTTTACAAGAACAAGGTTTCCATGACACAAATAAACAAATATATAGTAGCTTTACACGCAGCAGCCTTCACACCGCAGCTTTCTCACACGTGGCTTCTCTCACACAGAGGTTTACCTCACACTCCTCAGGACGACACTAACCTTCAACAATACCAAAGAAACATGAAAGCAAGCAGAGAAGCAACTCCTCTCGAGGTTTGCAGTTGGTACAGTGAGGAAGCGGGCCTTTTCCTCCTTTCCTCCGCTCCGCCCACCCTCCCCTCTTTGGAAACGCTTTAGTCCGTGAGGGCTGCTGTCTAGTGACAACAAGCTTTCCCGCGCGTTGTCTTTCATGGCGGAGCTCTCGAGTGTGCCACGAGGAGGAGGGAAGTGCCACTTGACACACTTCACTTGATCATCGCTGCTGCCGCCGCCGCCGAGGGAGAGCTGATATCTGCATATTAATTGGAGAGCTGGTGCACGGCTCTGGTTCGTAGGCAGGCCCCTGCTTTCCCTTCCTTTCATTATCATCTCTGCAGCGCCATAGATGATCATGAAAGCATGGAGACGTTGGCCTCCTCGAACGCGCCACGGTTAGTTGCAGTTGTTTGCCGGTTGTGTGTTCACCCTTCTGCATTTCCAGGTTTGATTACACTATGGACAGAGGCGGCCCTGGGTAATTTTCAATTGTAAACAAACAGTATTTTGCCCCCCCCCCCCAAACCAATCCCTGATACATATTTTCTGTTCGTCGTGGGAGTTCTGTGTGCCATCTTTGGTTCAATTCCATCATTGGTGGAGTTCAGAATGCTCTTCGATTGTAGGTGAACTATACATCTCAGTAACTACAACTCGCATATGTCAAGGTCTATTTTCCTCCAAGAGCGACCCTGGGCAACATCAACTCTACTGCAAAGGCTTACTTTGCGTAATGGCTTGAGCCGCCCCTGCCTGTTAAGCAGATTGAATCTGGGTGTCAAAGGAGATTGACTGAGGGAGTCAAAGAAGAAGAAACTGGGAGTTAGGAGTGGTTAATGGTTAGTGAGAGAGGCCTGAAATTGGTCTGTTTGGCCAGCAGAGATAGCTAGTGAGAAGCTCTCTACAGTTATTAGGGAAATAGCTGGTGGAGAAGTGTACAGATAGATCCAGGGTAGGACTATCTGTGGAGGAGTTTAGAATTACTTTCGGAGAAGCAATCCTGCCAGTAAATTCTGTGGAGGGACAGAGAAATGTTCCTGTGTAACTAAGTCTGAACTGAAACAATACTCTGAAACAGCTAAGCTTTATAACTGAGTTTGTTCCAGTTCTCTTAAATAAACATCATTGTTTTGTTGTTCACAACATCTGCCTCACGTGTGCCTCTGTGGGTGTAGTTTTAAAAAGCAGTTTCCTGCAGCAAACAAGACTCTATGGTGGCAGCGTATAATTTAAAGAACAATCTTTTAGTGTTACCTTAGAACACTAGCCTGAGGGCTAATCAATACTCTCTTGCCGAAGATACTTCCAGTAAGCCAAGGGCTTATCAGTGCTTTTAAGTTTGGTGGTGGCCAGAGGGTTTTTTTTTTTTTTTTTTGCCAGAAGAAAGTTCCAGCTTTCCTTCCAGCTTTTTGTTTTTGGCTTTTAATTAAGAGAAATCACATTCCAATCACAAATGGTGTTCTGCCTTTTTAGGGATTTTGTTTCCCAAATAAATCTTCCATCTTTTATACTCGCCTTGATGTTTGGTCAGGATATACAAACTCTTTCTTTCTAAGTTTTAGGTCAGGGCCCCAATTTCCATTTTCTGGGCTCAAGTCTGAGAGGGACTTTCTGGCTTTATAGAATAGGATGCTGCAAAGGTGGGGCAGCTCGCCCAAACACATCCTTTCCTAAGTGAGCGCTCACTTCAGCTGCGTTTCCTCTTCCTCTTTTTCCTGCTTTGATGGGATCAGGTCCTTGTCTGGCCTTCTCTTGTCTTCCCAACCTTGTATGTATCAATCATGCCTTGTTATTATGAGACGTTCCCCGCCCTGCAACTCCCCCCTGCCTGTGTTCTCCCCTTGCAGTCCCGCGAGTGGTGGCGGTCTCCCCGCAGATGCGCCTGGTGGAAGACAACCCCTCCTCGCTCTCCCTCGTGGAGATCTACAAGCAGCGCTGCGCCAAGAAGGGGATCGAGCACGACAGCCCCATCTCGCGCTACTACGACCGGCTGGCCACCGTCCAAGCGCGAGGCACCCAGGCCAGCCACCAGGTAAGCTATTGGGAATGTCTGGGCAGGCTGACGAGGCCCCCGAGTTACAGACATCCGACTTATAAACAACTCCTAGTTAAGAACGGGGCTGAGACCACATTGACTGGCTGTCTGTGCAGGGTTCCATACTTTGCACTTTAACAACACAACCGTTCGATACTAAAATGGAACTGTAGAGGAGAGTCTACTGAACAAGCCAGTACCTGCCGCATACTTTGCTTAAGTCGCATTGACCGACCGTCTGCACAGGGTTCCATACTTTGCACTTTAACAACACAACCGTTCAATGCTAAGGCTTCCCACCAAAATGAAACTGTAGAGGAGAGTCTACTGAAGAAGCCAGTACCTGCCTCAGACCAGTACTGCCATTAGTTGAGGAGTTACGAAAGTGGAGGCATTACTTTTCATTCAACCCTCGAACAATTATATACTTCTCTCATTGCATTAGCTGTTGCAATTCAGGGTAGTTTTCACCTTGCTCCAAACACCACCACACCAAAGCTGTAGGTTTTGTAGTTTATTGAGTATATGAAATGCATCAAATCCATAGGCAGATCAAAGGCTTAAGTGCAAAGGCACAGTTCCCAAGATCCAAAGGCAAAAGCATGAAGCCTAATCCTTTAGCAATGGTCAAACAAGAGTCCGTGGAAAACAGTTGAAAACAAGGCCCAAAACCCAGACTCAGGAAGCCAGAAGCGTGCTGCTAAAAGCCAAAGTTAATCCACAGAAGTTTGCATGAGAAGAGCTACATTGGACTGACAGCCCCTGCTTGTCAGCTACAAGGCTAAATACCCTTTGCAGACATAAACGCATTGCGTTGACCTTTGGCCCCCTTAGCTTCTCGCTTGCTAGCCAAGCGAGTGCTTCTCCGGAGCCTTAATTGCAGACGATCTTGCCTGCTCATTAATTCATTATCTTCAAGGCTATGCGACCCCTTATCTTGGTCCAGCTGGACCGGATCACTGTGGGAAGGCAAAGACATCTCCACCTGGCCGTGTGGGAATTCACTCTCGTTATCAGTCTCACTAACATTCTTTTCCCCTGGGAATGGACTTGCTGATTCCTCTACAGCAGCCCCACCGTCAGGCCTGTCTGAAGCATGTCCAGAAATCTGTAACCCATCATCCTCCCCATCATCCTGTAGGAATTCTGGCTCACAGAGCTCAGCTTCAGACTCAGAGTCAAGCTGAGCCACAACATTAACCACCACACCCTCATTACAGTGGCCTAACTCTTGGACAGGTGGCCAGGCCAGAAGCATTACCTTAGACAATGCCAGGCCATTTCCAAATCCCGAGGCTCTCGTTGCTTGCCTTCTTTCTCCCAGGTCCTCCGCGACATCCTGAAAGAAGTGCAGGGCAACATGGTGCCACGTAGCATGCTGAAGGAATGGGCGCTGCACACGTTCCCAAACGCCACCGACTACTGGACCTTCCGGAAGATGTTCACCATCCAGCTCGCCCTGATTGGCTTTGCGGAATTCGTCTTCCACTTGAACCGCCTGAATCCTGAGATGCTTCAGATTGCACAGGTATTTGTTGATTTTACTCTAACGCAACCACAAGCTTTACATGCCAGAAACTTTCTGAAACCATTAAGCATTTGTACCTGAATTAATTCAAGCCTGTTCAATAAACATTCTTGTTCTTTTATTAACTTATACCAGCCTCAGTGTGTGTTCCTTTGTGGTCAAAGTATTTCTAAAGTCAACTTCACAGCAGCCACTCAGAAAACTATAGTGGCACAGTGTGTGGTACAGAACAAACTCACAATATTACCTCAGCCTGATTATTATTAGAATGGTGGCAGCGGAATTTATTTTTAATCTCTCAAGTTTAGTCTTTTCCTACCTTTTTAAATACTAAGTGTTTCTCCCCTTCTCTACTCAAAATTCCCCTGATATTGGTATAATCAGTGGGATATATTTCAACAACTAATTTAAAGAAAAATTTAAATCTATGCAACTGTTTTCCAATCATTCTCCCGCTTCCTTTTGATGTGTCTGTCCTTTCTTTAAAACTCTCAGGATACCGGCAAGCTGAATGTGGCCTACTTCCGATTCGATATCAACGACGCCACGGGGGACCTGGATGCCAACCGCCCCGTTCCGTTCCGACTCACGCCAAACATTTCAGAGTTCCTCACCACCATCGGCGTTTCCGGCCCACTCACCGCCTCGATGATTGCCGTCGCCCGCTGTTTCGCGCAACCAAACTTCAAGGTAAGCGTGTCGTCAGTACTGCAGCGTGACTTCAGGACTGAAATATTAGACCAGGCCTGGGCCAACTTTGGCCTTCTCTCCAGGTGTTTTGGACTTCAACTCCCAAAATTCCTAATGGCCAATAGTAATAATATAATAATATATAATAATATAATAAAAATAAAAAATATTAAAAATAATATAATATAATAATATAAAATATAATAATAATAAAATAATATTAATAATATAATAGCAGCTGTTAGGAATTATTGTGGGTAGTTACTTACTTAGATTGTCCTCCAAGTGTGGCGTCCTGGCGGTGGGTCCGTAGGTGACTATGGAGCCCTATCCTTGACCGGCATGTTCTCCCGCAGTGAGGACATCGGTTTCCAGGTGGAAAGCAGTCCTGGTCGGGGTTTGCTTGATGTCCCTTCCTCTTGGCATATTTCTCCCTTTTGCCCTCCATTTCAAATTCGGCAGCACTGCTGGTCACAGCTGATCTCCAGCTGGAGGGCTCGAGGGCCAGGGCTTCCCAGTTCTCAGTGTCTATGCCAGAGTTTTTAAGGTTGGCTTTGAGCCCGTCTTTCAATCTCTTTTCCTGTCCTCCAACCTTCCGTTTTCTGTTCTTGAGTTCAGAGTAGAGCAACTTCTTTGGGAGATGGTGGTTGGGCATCCGGACAACGTGGCCGGTCCCACGTCCTGCTCTTGAGCCAGGCCTCATTGTCCCCCATTCTGTCTCTTTGCATTTCGTTTTTCCTGCCAAAGTGGAGTCTCTTGCATTTGTCCCTCTTGAACTTCATTTTGTGAGTTTTGGCCCATCATGTCTCTAATCTGTTGAGATCCCTTTGACTCCTGCTCCTGTCCTCTGGAGTATTGGCTCTCCCTCCCCATTTGGTCCCGTCTGCAAACTTGATAATCCTGCCTTCAAACCCTTCATCTAAGTCATTAATGAAGATCCTGAACAGGACCGGGACCAGGACGGAACCCTGTGGCACTCCACTTGCCACTTCTTTCCAAAATGAAGAGGAAGCCTTGGGGAGAATAAATAAATTGCGGGACTGCGAGAGGGAGGACGCGGGGAGGCCCCGCACACGGCGGAACGGGCTCTTTGTTGTCGTCCTCCTCCCTCAGCCCTCCTCCGCTTCCTTGCTGTGCTTTGCATATTTTTTTAATATTGCAGGTTAGTAATTACCCTTGATTTGATTTGACGGGTTGTGATGTGTGTGCCCCCTTCCGGCCTTAATCAGAGAGGCCGGACCGCTTGCAGAAAGGGTTTTCAAAAAGGTATAAAACACGCAGAGTTATAATAACCGTGTTCCGACCATTAAAGCAATTTTAAAAGTGCATTAACGGAGGAAGTGCCGCGCTGGCCCGGTAGGAGTGGAAATACCGTTTTATTCCAAGGTCTATTTTCAGTGGGAAAATATATTCTGATTTTTTTTTAAAAAAATTGAATGGTCAAATACTTAGAGCGAGATCTTAACACGTTTGACTTTGTTTTTGTGCGAATTTGCACTGTATCCCCTAGGCCTGGGTAACAACGGAAAAATTTGTTTCTAAAATCGATTTGTATTTGGGGGGTTTTTTTTGTTTCGATATTTAAAATAATTACAAAATTTTCCTTTTAAAAAGTTCGATATTTACGAAATTTCGTAAATGGTAAAAAATTAACGAATCGATTTCCGAAACAATAACGAATCGATTCGTTAATGGCGGACGCGACCGCGAAATACGCTAAAAAACCTCCAAAACCTTCTGAAGCTTCCCTCTCCCTCTGTTGTTGACTGTTGGTGTGATATTATTTTTTTTCACTAATTAAACCATAAAACTGGCCCAGACATGCGGAAATAATAACGAAACGACCTCAAAACAATAACGAAACGAATACAATATCGAAATACGAAGCATTTACAAAACGTTTTTGAAAATTCATTTTTTTAAATAATTGCTCCAGAATGGTTCGTTATCGTTTTGTAATTGAAAAAATTAACGAATTATTAACAAATTACGAATTAACGAAACGAAACCGCCCAGCCCTAGTATCCCCACATCCATATCTTGAATTCTTTGCCTTGGTTTCCTTTCTCGTCAGTCTGTTTATGGAAATTGCTGTCTGATTGACACCATAATAATAATAGTAATAATAATAATAATAATAATAATAATAATAATAATAATAATAATAGAATCCTAGAGTTGGAAGAGACCTCCTGGGCCATCCAGTCCAACCCCATTCTGCCAAGAAGCAGGAGACTCCTGCTGCCTCGACGTTCCAGCGAATCATAAGGGAGGGAGGCGGGATGAAGGGAGACAATGCATTCTGGAGTGGATTATGGAGTTTCAATGTCCTTAAGCTTATCGAGTCCAAGGATCGACCTTCATAGAATCATAGAATCATAGAATTGAAGAGTTGGAAGAGACCTGACACCCCTGACAGATGGCCATCCAGCCTCTGCTTCAAAGCTTTCAAAGAAGGAGTCTCCACGACACTCCGGGGCAGAGAGTTCCACTACTGAACGGCTCTAATCTTTATTTATACCCTGCCAACATCTCCCCAACGGGGACTCAGAGTGGCTTACATGAGGCCAAACACGGTAGTACTATTACAATAACGTAACACAGAAGCAAGAAATAAACATTGCAAATAATAATAATAATAATAATAATAATAATAATAAAGCAAAAAAATAAAATTAAAAGAAAAAATGCAAAATAATACAGAAAAAATTTATAGATAAAATAATAAACGTAATAGGTAGTCCTATTATAATAACATAACACAGAAGCAAGAAATAAACATTGCAAATAATAATAATAATAATAATAATAATAATAGTAAAGCAAAAAAATAAAATTAAAAGAAAAAATGCAAAATAATACAGAAAAAAATAATAGATAAAATAATAAACATAATAGGTAGTACCATTACAATAACATAACACAGAAGCAAGAAATAAACATTGCAAATAATAATAATAATGATAATAAAGCAAAAAATTAAATTAAAAGAAAAAATGCAAAATAATACAGAAAAAAATAATAGATAAAATAATAAACGTAATAGGTAGTACTATTATAACATGACACAGAAGCAAGAAATAAACAAAGCAAATAATAATAATAATAATAATAAAGCAAAAAAATACAGAAAAAATTAATAGATAAAATAATGAACGTAATAGGCAATACCATTAAAATAACATAACACAGAAGCAAGAAATAAACATTGCAAAAATAATAATAATAATAAAGCAAAAAATAAAAGGAAATGAAAAGAAAAAATGCAAAATATACAGAAAAAATAATAGATAAAATAATAAACGTAATAGGAAGTACTATTACAATAACATAACACAAAAGCAAGAAATAAACAATGCAAATAATAATAATAATAATAATAAAGCAAAAAAATAAAATTAAAAGAAAAATGCCAAATAATACAGAAAAAAATTAATAGATAAAATAATAAACGTAATAATAAAAATAGAGTGAAATAATAAATGTAATAGTAACAAATAAAGCAGCCATAAAATAACATTCTATTAAACACAAGGGGTCATCCAATAATAATAATAATAATAATAATAATAATCTTTATTTATACCCTGCCACCATCTCCCCAAAGGGGACTCGGGGCGGCTAACATGAGGCCAAGCCCAAACAACAAATTACAATAAATAAGATACAGGTTACAATAAAATAAACAACATAATAAAATACAAAACATATGAATGCAATAAACAATATTAAATAAAACAAAAAAACAAAAACCAGTAAACCAAACATAACATAATATTGCTAATCACCTCTCAACAAAAGATTCTCCCAGGCACTGCCAGGCCATTATATCAAGGAACATTAAAGGTACTGCAGACTTCTTTAGCCAGAGAAATCAGCCATAGCAGAGCACCTGATGAACCAACCTCACAACAAAAGATTGCTCCAGGCACTGCCAGGCCATTATGTGCTAATTAAGGTGGTCAGTTGAAACATTCACACCTAGCTCCAGCAGACAAGAGTCCTTTGTCCCTTCCTGGTCATTCTGCAGATATATAAACCCATTTTCCTAGTTCCAATAGACCTCACTACTTCTGAGGATGCTGGCCATAGATGCAGGCGAAATGTCAGGAGAGAATGCCTCTAGAACATGGCCATATAGCCTGAAAAAACCTACAACAACCCAATATTGCTAATGCTAAACATTCTTTTTTAATATATTGTCGAAGGCTTTCCTGGCCGGAATCACTGGGTTGTTTTTTGGCTGTCTGGCCATGTTCCAGAAGCATTCTCTCCTGACGTTTCGCCTCCATCTGTGGCAAGCATCCTCAGAGGTTGTGAGGTCTGTTGGAAACCCAACTTTCCTAGTTTCTAACAGACCTCACAACCTCTGAGGATGCCTGCCATAGATGCAGGTGAAACGTCAGGAGAGAATGCTTCTGGAACATGGCCATGCAGCCCAAAAAAGCTACAGCAACCCATTTAAAAAATAACCAGATATTCAAGGTTCCAGGATTCCAAAGGTTCAGGAGACAGGTCAGGACACTGAAAAACCTGGGGGAAAACCAGCAGCATCTACCACCAAAATAAGACAAATGCTTTTCTCCCGAAGATCAGTCCCAAGGCTAGGACCTTGTATCCTTGTATCCAGAAACACCCAGCTGCAACCCATCTCTTGCATACCTCCACCCTTAATTGCTTTCACCAATGAACTCTTACTCACAGAATACTCAACCCTTTGGAATTTAGACTTAGATTAACCCTCCCATCACCATCTGCTAGGCCTACCACCACCAACCACCATCAACTGCAGATCACAATACATGACAGCTGTGCACTTTCTCCGTTGAGCAGATTGGGTCTCTGGATCATACTAAAGATTGATTGTTCTCTGTGTGTGTGTGTCTCTGCTCTCCCTCTCCTCCACATCCCGCCTTCCTCGCAGGTGGACGGCATCCTGAAGACGGTTCTGCGAGACGAAATCATTGCCTGGCACAAGAAGACCCAGGAGGACACCTCCTCCCCGCTCTCGGCGGCCGGGCAGCCGGAGAACATGGACAGCCAGCAGCTGGTGTCGCTGGTCCAGAAAGCGGTGACGGCCATCATGACGCGGCTGCACAACCTGGCGCAGTTCGAAGGCGGCGAGAGCAAGGTCAACACACTGGTGGCGGCCGCCAACAGCCTGGACAACCTCTGCCGCATGGACCCCGCCTGGCACCCCTGGCTCTAGCGAGCGGGAGGGAACCTGCCGGACTTCGCCCCCATCGCCCCTCCGCCTCCACCCGCCTCCATCCCACCTTCTCCGACCTTCCGTTCAGTGTTCTCGTGTTTACAATCATACCACGGATGTTCCCGTGATGCCTTTCCCATTGTTTTGCATGCTTCAAGGCGCGAGGAATATTGAGAATATTTTTTCTACGAGAAGGGAGAATTCCGATGAGATTTCTCCAGGTCGTCTGACGTGAACTCCTTTTCTTTCTTTTTTTAAATGTGAAGCTAGTATTGTTAAATTTTTTTTAATGCAAAATGTGTTTCCTTCATGGATTTCCTTTCAAGTGGTACAAATTCTGATGAAATAACGTTTTTTAATCCGCTCGGAAACATACTGAAATCAAAGTGGACTTGCATACAAAATTGTATATAGAACTGTATACAAAATTGTATGCAAAATTGTATATAAAACTGTATACAAAATTGTATGCAAAACTGTATACAAAATTGTATATAAAACCGTATACAAAATTGTATACAAAATCATTTTTGTTCCTCGTTGGAAGCTACCGATCAAATTTGTCCTTGTTTTATTTTACTAGAACAAGAAAAAGTTGTGTACTTATTTTTTTGGGGGGGGGGGTGTCTTTTTTGCAGCCTGGTTGAGTGAAAAGGGAAATCACAAAAGTGAAATTGTCACTCAGACAAAAGAACCAGCCTGGTAAGAATCAAAGGTTATGTGAGATAAGCTGGGATATCCTTTCTTTCTCGCCCTTCTCCCTTTCCCCCGTTTTTAAGTTGGACTCATTTCAACCTCTTGTTGTTAAGTGGCTTCGAAAGCAACCGTTTTGTAGTGTTTATCATTTTTAAAAATGAAAAAAAAAGAGTTAAAGAATTGCTTTTATTTGGGTCGGTGTGAGCCATGTTTCTACGCCCTTGCAGTGTTGAGAATGTTCGAGTCCCAATTTGTACAGAGCAAACCGTTTTTCAAAATAAATATTTTCTAAACTGCTTGAACTGGATGGCCATCTCTCGGGGGTGTTTTGATGGTGTTTTTACAGCATGGAGGCAGAGTAAAGGGAGGTGGGCTAGGCAATCTGTGAGGTCTCTTCCAACTGCGTTTCTGTCAAACCGCCAAAAACGGAACCAGGAGGGACCCCCTCTGAAGCCTTACCGCAACAAAACACAAGCCGTCGATTCAGCTCGTGTTTATGATTTCTATAATTTCTGCGGTTCGGCAGTTGAACCGCCGAAAACGGGGCCAGGAGGGACCCCCTCCGAAGCCTTACCGATTCAGCTTGTGTTTATGATTTCTATGATTTCTGTGGTTCAGTAGTCGAACTGCCGAAAACAGAACCAGGAGGGACCCCCTCCGAAGCCTTACCGCAAAAAAACACGAGTCGCCGATTCAGCTCGTGTTTATGATTTATATAATTTCTGTGGTGCGGCAGCCTAACCGCCGAAAACGGGACCAGGAGGGACCACATCCAAAGCCTTACTGCAAGGAAACACGAGCCGCCGATTCGGCTCGTGTTTATGATTGCTATAATTTCTGTGGTTTGGTAGTCCGATTCGGATTTTGGATAATTTAGGTGATTCAGCAGTCGAACTGCCGATAACGGAACCAGGAGGGACCTCCTCCGAAGCCTTACCGCAACGGAACACGAGCTGCCAAATCGGCTCGTGTTTATGATTTCTATAATTTCTGTGGTTCGGCAGTCGAACCGCCAATAACGGGACCAGGAGGGACCCCCTCTGAAGCCTTACCGCAATGAAACACGAGCCGCCGATTCAGCTCGTGTTTATGATTTCTATAATTTCTGTGGTGCGGCAGTCGAACCGCCAATAACGGGACCAGGAGGGACCCCCTCTGAAGCCTTACCGCAACGAAACACGAGCCGCCGATTCAGCTCGTGTTTATGATTTCTATAATTTCTGTGGTGCGGCAGCCTAACCGCCGAAAACGGGACCAGGAGGGACCACATCCAAAGCCTTACCGCAACGAAACACGAATTGCCGATTCAGCTCGTCTTTATGATTTCTATAATTTCTGTGGTTCGGCAGTCGAACCGCCAAAATTGGGACCAGGAAGGATCCCCTCCCAAGCCTTACCGTTTCAGCTCATGTTTATGATTTCTATAATTTCTGTGGTTCAGCAGTCAAACTGCTGAAAACGGAACCAGGAAGGACCCCCTCTGAAGCCTTACCGCAACAAAACACGAGCCGTCGATTCAGCTCGTGTTTATGATTTCTATAATTTCTGTGGTGCGGCAGCCTAACCGCCGAAAACGGGACCAGGAGGGACCCCCTCCGAAACCTTACCACAACAAAACACGAGCTGCTGATTCGGCTCGTGTTTATGATTTCTATAATTTCTGGGGTTCGGTAGGTCAATTCGGATTTTTGATAATTTAGGTGGTTCAGCAGTCGAACTGCTGAAAACGGAACCAGGAAGGACCTTCTCCAAAGCTTTACTGCAACAAAACAAGCCACCGATTCAGCTCGTGTTTATGGTTTCTATAATTTCTGTGGTTCGGCAGTCAAAACGCCGAAAACGGAACCAGGAGGGACCCCCTCCGAAGCCTCGGCGGCTCGTGTTTCGTTGCGGTAAGGCTTCAGAGGGGGTCCCTCCTGGTTCCGTTTTCGGCGGTTCAGCTGGCGAACCACCTATATTATCCAAAATCAGAATTGACCTACAGATGGGGATAATGGGATGTGCAATCCAATAATGCCTCTCATACGTATGTCAAGTATGGGACATTCGGTGGAGGCCGTTCTTTCTTCGAATCATCACCTTATGCCATTTGTCACGTATATCAACGAATGCACAGTTCTGGAAATATAATGTTACGATCTCACATTTCTCGTCCCCAGCTATCCTCAAGGGAAGGAGAACAACATGTTAAAAGAAGAACATGTCTTTTAACATCCTGCCGCTGTGCTAACAAATCTCCCCCCGCCGCCTTTTCACACGTCTCCTATTAATTAGTCCAATTCCAAACGCACTCTGTTTCCAATACTTCCCGCTCCTTCCTCTGCAGAGTGTTTTACGACTCGTTAGTCGCATTTATTCGGAATGTGTTTTTTTCGCCTTCAGCTTCCCGCGTGGTGTGCCGGAGGAAGAGTGCCTCACATGTCACTTAAGAAAGGCTTGACGCACCTTTGTCTTGGCACGTTTCTCTCTTTCATTCTCCGTTCGTGCCTCTTCGAATTCTGCAGCACTGCTGGTCACAGCTGATCTCCAGCTGGAGCTCTCAAGGGCCAGGGCTTCCCTATTCTCAGTGTCTATGCCAGAGTTTTTAAGGTTGGCTTTGAGCTCATCTTTCAATTTCTTTTCCTGCCCTCCAACATTCCGTTTTCCGTTCTTGAGTTCGGAGTAGAGCAACTGCTTTGGGAGACGGTGGTCGAGCATCCAGACCACATGGAGTTGATGGCAGAGGACCATCGCTTCAATGCTTGCAAGACATGGACAGTCTACAGACGTCACATGCAATTCCTGGAACGATTCCATCAGCGCTGCCTCCAAAAAATCCTTCAAATCCCTTGGGAAGACAAGAGGACAAATGTCAGCGTGCTGGAAGAAGCAAAGACCACCAGCATCGAGCCTCCACCACACTCCGGGGCAGAGAGTTCCACTACTAAACATCTCTCACAGTCAGGAAGTTCTTCCTAATATTCAAGTGGAATCTCCTTTCTTGTCGTTGGAAGCCATTCTGAAAAGAAAGCTTGCTCCCTCCTCCCTAGGATTCCCTCTCTCCCTCTCTCCCTTCAAAAAGCTAAACATACCAGGAATAAAAACACACACCAAATCAAGTAACTCAAAGTTCCTCAAAGAGGGCAGACATCGATCTCCGAAAGTGGACAAGAGCACGAGGGACAAGGCCCGGAGGCTGTGTTCTTCTTCAAAGCCAAGCAAGAGTCCAAAGCCAACCAGGACTCCTTGCTTGACTTTGGACCTTTATTTTTTCATAGAATCATAGAATCATAGAATCCTAGAGTTGGAAGAGACCTCCTGGGCCATCATCCAGTCCAACCCCTTCTGCCAAGAAGCAGGAATATTGCATTCAAATCACCCCTGACAGATGACCATCCAGCCTCTGTTTAAAAGCTTCCATAGAAGGAGCCTCCACCACACTCCCTCCGGGGCAGAGAGTTCCACTGCTGAACGGCTCTCACAGTCAGGAAGTTCTTCCTCATGTTCAGATGGAATCTCCTCTCTTGTAGTTTGAAGCCATTGTTCCATTGCGTCCTAGTCTCCAAGGAAGCAGAAAACAAGCTTGCTCCCTCCTCCTCCCTGTGGCTTTCTCTCACATATTTATACATGGTTATCATGTCTCCTCTCAGCCTTCTCTTCTTCAGGCTAAACATGCCCAGCTCCTTAAGCCGCTCCTCATAGGGCTTGTTCTCCAGAGCCTTGATCGTCTCCCTCTCTGGACACATTCCAACTTAGAGTCAATATCTCTCTTGAATTGTGGTGCCCAGAATTGGACACAATATTCCAGATGTGGTCTAACCAAGGCGGAATAGAGCATGCGGAGCATGGCTTCCCTAGATCTAGACACTATGCTCCTCTTGATGCAGGCCAAAATCCCATTGGCGTTTTTTTGCCGCTGCATCACATTCCTGGCTCGTGTTTAACTTGTTGTCCACGAGGACTTCAAGATCTTTTTCACACGTCCTGCTCTCGAGCCAGGCATCCCCCATTCTATATCTTTGCATTTCGTTTTTCCTGCCAGAGTGGAGTATCTTGCATTTGTCCCCGTTGAACTTCATTTTGTTAGTTTTGGCCCGTCATCTCTCTAGTCTGTCAAGATCCCTTTGAGTTCTGCTCCTGTCCTCTGGAGTCTTGGCTCTCCCTCCCAATTTGGTCCCGTCTGCAAACTTGATGATCCTGCCTTCTAGCCCTTCATCTAAGACATGAATGAAGATCCTGATCAGGACCGGGCCCAGGACGGAACCCTGCGGCACTCCACTTGTCACTTCTTTCCAAGATGAAGAGGAAGCATTAGTGAGCACTCTCTGTGTTCGTCCACTTAACCAATTCCAGATCCACCTCACCGTAGTTTTGCCTCGCCCACATTGGACTAGTTTCCTTGCCAGAAGGTCGTGGGGGACCTTGTCAAAGAAGGCCTTCCCTCCTCCCTAGGACTTCCTCTCCCCCTCTCTCCCTTCAAAAAGCTAAACATACCGGGTTTTGGACTACTTCTCATGCGCTAACCCTGGGCTTCAACCTCTGTGGGGCCTTTGTGTTGGACACTGTTGTGCTTTGTTTCTCTGGTGTATTGAGGGCCAGAAAGCCTGGGTTCCGGTCTCCTTCGAGTCCTGGGTGAACTTTGGAACGGTTTCCTCTCCCTCTCCGTTCCTCTCTCTCTTTCCTTCCTGACACATCTTGTCCATCTATCACCCGTTCCAATGCAATATTTATACCTTGCCCCGTATCACAGCGCAGTGTGCCCATCTAATCAATTTTTAAAATAGTTTGGAAGAGTTTTAATCAGGCGGAATAATTTAAGACAGGGTCAAAACATGTGAGGCCGTCTAACAATGAAGGCAACTCATCCATTCAAACAGTGAAAGCTGATCAAACCACTTAAAACTTCTGCAGATTTGGGCGGAATCGTTAGATCTCCACTCAGGCTTTGATCTACCTTACAGGAGTGTTGTGAGATTACAAAGGGGGAGGAAGAAAGGTGGCTCTACCTGTCCAAATATTTAGCATTTTCTGCAGTCTGTCTAGCACCCAGATCCACAGTTCCTTGTCATCTGCTTAGAGATAACCTTGAAAGGAAAAGATTGATAGTGAAATGATGCTTGTTGGAAGGAGAGGAAAGAGATGGAGAGATTGAGAGAAAGAGGGAGAGAGAGAGAGAGAGAAAGAAGAGGAGGAGAAAGAAGTCTCGTTGTCTCCGCCATGTCAGGAAGTGGCGGATGAGAAAAGGCCAATCGTTTGCAATGGGAAGTGTTTTTTAGGCAGCGCTCAACTACACAAGACCCAAATATTCCAATCCACA